TAGGATTAGATAAGTACCGAAGCCCAAACGGGGTCACGAGATCGACTCAGATAACACAAACGGTCCAAAACATATACACACGTACAAAAAACAAGAAGCGTTCACATTTGCACCCAAAAAAAAAAAAAAAAAGAAGCGTTATACACTTGCAATCAAAATCAAATTATTCTGATAGGCTCAGAGATGAAGATCTAAAACTCTCTCGAAGAGTCACTCCTATTTTAGGCACGTTATTAAACATCTCTCGCATATATTTGTATATATCAGCCTTCTTCATTCATATTTTTTTAGTTTGAAAATGTTGTTCTTTAAAACATGTTCGGAAGTTAAAATAGTCAAATGAAAGCCATGTCGGGTAATCGATCCCTCTATTGTATATTTATTTTCCTTTGAAAATTTTGGATCTTCTGAATTTTTTCATTAACTATCTATAAGATTGTACGTCAATTCATGAAGAAACGTTAGGTTTGTAAGAAATTTCGTGACCTATTGGTTTATACCATTTCTCAATATAATTTATACCACTAAGTAATTGTACTATCATTTTAATATCGTACGTGTGGCTGTATGCATCGTAAGAGGTCGCACTCATAATTTAAGTATTGCATATTTGCTTGTTTAGTAAACTTGTGGAATCGTCTAGATGGTATGATTTATACATAACTAAGTATTCGATCTTTACGTTTACAAAGACTTATTTTTTTCAACAAAATGGTCATGCTCCATGCTCTTGATTTGTTTAGCCACATAATCACATATACAACTAATTTTCCCAAACGAAACAGAAAAGGTCGATATCTATGCTGAATTGGACATCTATTGGTTGTAGTGAAAATGAAAATTAAAATGAATAAAATCGATTGCAGTTATCATATTATATGATTCGGCGACGTTAGGTTATAGTATAAAACATACATACGACGACGTATACGAATAGAAAGGTGCTTCCTTTGCCTCTAGGACACGTGGGATTATAGTGGGACCCAATTTAATACAAAGAGAAGAGTCACCACCTCCTTCAGCTGGGCCGGCTTGTAGGTCCCACCACAGAACCTCGGTCCCATGGCTCCCACTTGTAACTTGAACTCTCTCTCTTCTCTAAACTCTTTTGTCTTCGTTTGTGCTTCTATATAAGCCACCTCTTTGTTTACGAATATCTCCCACACTAACTCTCTCTCTCGTCTCTTCGATCACTGCAAAAACCATTTTCAGTTTCGAAAAACAGAGCAATTTCTTCTTCTCCTTCGTCTTCCCTCAGCTCACATTTCTTTACTTTCTTCAACCCATTTCGAAGACTCATCTTAATCTCTGTTTTCCCAATTTGGCAAGGTTCAATTTTCTCGCTTTTGTCGAGAAGACCAGTCAAGTTTTCTGTTTCACATCCTCTGTTCCAAAAATCCCCTGTTTTTTCTTTCCTTCTCTGTTTTACAAAATGGTGAGCCAAAACGTCGTCGTATCAGACGCCAAGACTGGAATCATAACCGTCTCCACCGTCTCTAACTCTTCCGTATTCACTCCTTCCGCTCAGAAACCACCGACTGCTCCTGGTTACATCTCAGTTTCCAAGAAAAAACTCCTCAAGAACCTCGAAATCAATGGCGCTCAAAGCCAAAGACTCAACTCTTGGGTTGACTCCATGAGAGCTTCTTCTCCTACTCATCTCAAATCTCTTTCTTCTCTCTCCTCTGAAGAAGAGCTCAATTCTTGGATTGTAAGCTCCATTACACATTTTTACAGACAAACTCTGTTTCTTTTTTCTTTCTCACTGTAATGCTAATTTGTTTTTTTTTGTTGTTGTCTGTAATTCGAACCAGAAACGACATCCATCGGCACTTGACATGTTCGAACGAATCATCGAAGCTTCAAGAGGAAAGCAGATCGTCATGTTTCTTGATTATGACGGTACTCTATCTCCAATCGTCGATGATCCAGACAGAGCTTTCATATCCAGCAAGATGAGAAGAACAGTGAAAAAAGTGGCCAAGTGTTTTCCAACTTCTATAGTTACTGGTAGATGCATAGACAAGGTACACTTTTCTAAGCTAATTAAATTTACCATTTAAAAAAAAAAAATTATTAGTGAAGCAAAGTAAGTTTTTCTTTTAAATATATTTGTAGGTTTATAGCTTTGTGAAGCTAGCAGAACTGTACTATGCTGGAAGCCATGGAATGGATATCAAGGGTCCAACAAAAGGTTTCTCAAGATACAATAAGGTATATGAGTCTGAGATTATTAAAACTCAATTAGTCTACAAGATTAAAATATATATAGTTCTTTTCTAAATCGAATTTTACTTCTTTTTTAGGATAAACCATCTGTTCTTTACCAACCAGCCGGCGACTTTCTTCCCATGATCGATGAGGTAAAATATATAAATATAGTCATTTGTTATCTCTTGTGTATACAATCGAGTATTTAAGTTAAAATCTCTAACTGTCACAAAAAAAAAAAAAACTAAAATCGATGTTTTATAGGTTTTTAAACAATTGGTGGATAAAACCAAATCCACAGCGGGAGCAAAAGTGGAGAACAACAAGTTCTGTCTTTCTGTGCATTTTCGTTGTGTGGACGAGAAGGTAACAAAATATTACCGTACAATTACTAAAATTTCCGAGTTATATTTTAAAAACCAAAACTAACACTGCACATACTTTATTTTTATTTTGTTGAAAATCTTTCAGAAATGGAGCGAATTGGCTTTGAAGGTTCGGTCGGTGGTAAAGAACTATCCGACATTGAAACTGTCTCAAGGTCGGAAGGTATGACGTGGCATATTCTTGTTGGTGATCGACTAAAATACGTTTTTGGAATATCAAATTTAGATAAATCTAAATTTATTTTTTATACTATAACAGGTTTTTGAAATCCGACCTATGGTTAAGTGGGACAAAGGCAAGGCCCTTGAGTTTTTGTTAGAGTCACTTGGTGAGAATCTTTTTCGCTCGTCTTGTTAAATTTATTTTTCGTAACACAACAAAGTTTTTTTTGCTTATTTTATTTACGAATAATCAACAAGAATTTGCCTGTTGCAGGATTTGAGAACCGTGATGATGTATTTCCGGTATACATTGGTGATGATCGAACCGATGAAGATGCTTTTAAGGTATAAGAATTTAAACGATGTTTTTTTTTTTTTTTTTTAAACGATGTTTTTGTTAAACATATAACAAAAATACTAGGCAAGTACGATGCATACAATGAAGTTCACATTATTATTTGTATTTTTTTTCCATCTAAATTAGCTGCTTCAAGAGAGAGGACAAGGCTTTGGTATTCTTGTCTCCAAGTTCCCCAAAGACACCAATGCGTCGTATTCTCTGCAAGACCCACCTGAGGCAAGTACACATATATACATTTATCCATTTACGCAGTTATACATATATATCAACACCGTATATTTACCTATTGTTTCGTAATATAATGATCTAATTCTCCTAACACATACAGGTGATGGAATTCTTGAGACGATTGGTGGAGTGGAAAAAATTCAGCAACGAACGTTAAGGGGCAACGGAGTAGTTTTAGTAGACTTTTAATAGAACAAATAACCACTACCATAGGTGCATATGTATATATATACATATAGATAATATATCTATATATCCCTAACCTATAATGGAACATTGTACAAGATATATAAGGGTAAGTTCTTAGTATGCCCTTATATAGCTAGGTTGATATTGTTCATCATAATTCTTTTCTTTCAGAAAAAGATGAACAATCACTTTTATTCACTTGGGGATATATTTTTCTTTCTTTTTATAGCCTTCTTTTACCTTTTAAACAAAAAAAAAAAAAAAAAGATAGACGACTGTAAGGGAAGGGGTATGTATAGTGGTACCTTTTGTTAAATTCTAAATGTATGTGTACTATTTTATGAAATAGCAATTTCTTATATAATGCAACGCGAGATTGATAGGATTATGTGGATAGTCGACAATCGACTAGTGAGTGAGACTTAGACACACATCCTTCGTGGGTCCGTTGCTTTTTTCACGACATAAGAACATACTACAGAGTACTTGAGCTAATAAATGACCGAGACATGACAACTTCTTCAACTTCCAAGTCTAGTAATCTCTGTTTTAACAAAAACAAAAGAGAGTTTTTTTTGTGAGAGAAAAGCAAAAGGGAAGGGAAAAGTACAATTTTTCTGTTTGTTTACTTGCACATGAAATGAAATCATACGTTTAAGTGAGTACGTGTTCCTCGTTATGTCCATATCATTTGCCTCTCACCATTCGCATATTTATGTGTATTTGCATAATTGCATGCTGGAGATCACGTCGATCCTTTACACGTGTCAACCTCTGAAATGTCGGTCCACGGTTCGAGATCCTTGATATGTCTATCTCAAGCATGAAGCATCGATGTTCGGTAGCTTATAATTATATGAATAAACGTGCTCATGACATGGGGATGCATGTGAATTGTGAAAGGTAAATGCCCCAACAATGGGAAGCCAATTTCAACGTACACGTGTCACTGCCTTGACCATATATGACATTTTAAAGTAGATTCGCGTGAAAGTGAACCGAATGGATTCACGATTATACGGTTGTTAAAGAGTTAATCATTTAGGCGGAAGGAATAGATCAAAATCAGTCTAATTTCAATTACGGTTGACTGTTGACTATTCAAGACGTCTGAAATGACAATAATATTTTAAATTCATATGTTCCAAAAGATTAGTCTATTGGCTTGAGATCTCCCAGTTATACATATATATAAAACATACAATTTTACCACCCAAGAAAAATAAAATCAAGGAACATCCAAGCAAAGAATTATGCAACTCAGAGAAGAAGTTCATAAGTAGTTGGACTCGTCTCAGATTTGAAGATATTGGGTTCTTTATCACTAAACGGCCCATTAAAAACAAGGTTCAGTGATCCTTTTGCAAATGTCAAGAACTTCCATGAGTCATGACAAGAACTCTGAAAAGTGAAAAGAAAACTTCTAAAAGAGTAAAAGCTTAATAACAAACGAACCAAAAACCTTAAATGGATGCAGAGAGTTTGTCTATAGCGTCCCAATCAATCTCCAAAGAAGGATACTTCTGCAAACCCATAAACAGACTCTCATCTTCTTCCGTCCAGTCCAACAACGTTACACCCGACTCAGGAGAAGAACCCGAAAAGCCGGACCCAAAATTCTCCATAATTTCTGGTTCTTGCTCCGGTTTACTACCGGTATAACGAAAACCAAATAATCCCTCCTCTGTTTTAGCCGTTTTCTTGATCTCAGGCTGTGGAAGATGTGAGCTACTACTGCAGATGGATTCGATCTTCGCCTTGATAGACGGAGACAAAGATTGCTTATATTCCCCGTGACAAGCAATATGCGGGAAATTTAGACGAGCGTTTTCTCCTCTGATCTTATGAGCAGCTTGATCGTAAGCTAATGCAGCATCTTCCGCGGTTTCAAACGTACCGAGCCATAACCGGGTTCGGTTTTTAGGCAAACGGATCTCAGCAACCCATTTGCCCCAATGTCGTTGTCTTACGCCTCGGTATAGTTTAACCGGTTTGGTTATGTCGGTTTTCTTCATTGGGGTTGGTTTAGCGGTGAGAAGATGGCCACCGCGACGGCGAGTTTGGTTTTGCCGGAGATGTAGTTCTGTTTGAATTTGGAGGATTTGAGCTGGAGTGAGCTGGTTTAGCCCAATCGGACCAGTTTGGTTAGATACCGGTAAGACTTGGTTATTGGTAATGATAGTAGGAGTGAAGGGTATAGCTTTTGGTGAAGAAGAAGAAGAGGAAGAAGATGAAGTTTCTTTCATGAACGGTTCAAGTGCTTTCATGAACTCTTCTAAGCAACCATCCATGTTTAAAGCTATGGCCATTTGATATATAATAACAAAAATAAAGAAATGTTAAATAATTTGGAGAAAGAAAGAGGAGCTTCTGGAGAAAAAAGAAGAAGCCTTCTGAGAAAATAGTTTGACTAAAGAAGAGATGAAAAAAAACACACGAACTCTGTCTGAAAAGAAGAAGAAGAAGTGAAGATTGTTTTTTTTTGTTTTGTTTAGCTTTGAAAGATTCTTGCATTTGATAGTTTCGCCATGCCTTTGGCTTATATATGTGTTCGTTTCCGCTGGGTTTTATGTGGTGAAGTCAATGACATTATTATTTGGGATTTTTTTAATTAATAGGTCTGCATTTTTCTAAGAAAACTAATGCATCAATGTAAAAAAAATATTAGTATGGAATAAACGCGTTGACAATTGCGAAGTCCACTAAAATTCGTTTCTGTTTTATTGGTGTTTCACAGTTTCAGTTGCCCTATAAAATTTTATGGAATTTTACAATGTGTGTTAAGTTTCTTGCCTACTAAATTAAAATGAAAAATCACATTCCCAAAATACTACTAATTTGCTATAAGTTTCTTTATGAGTATATAAGTGTTTATTGTCCCTTCTTTTTACAAATGACACCAATAGGATTTGTAATTAAGGAGTATAATTTTTGGCAATGATTTGTAATTAACATCTCCGATATTGGATTTTGAGTGTTGTAATTGAGTGTTGTGAAGCAAGATAACAAAATCATAGAAAAGCAAGGAAATAGAATCGGAACCAATGAGCGTTGAGTGTGAAAACAAACGGGCCCCACAAATACCAACATAATTGGGACCCACAGAGACATGTTCACACGTTGTGGCCTACGTGGATCTGACTTGTAAACTACGCAAGGCAGCTTCTTCAATCTACAGTCTCATTTTAGCAGAGCAATTTCTTCAGCTCCTGCCTTCTCGGCCTTTCTTGTTATTTAGAAACCGACAAGGATTATTATTTTAGTTCGTAATTTGGACAAATTTTTATATAAAGATAGACAACAGATTTTTAATTAAAAGATAACATAGTATTAGTAAGAAATCAGGTTCGAATAACAAAAGAAATCAGGCTCAATGTCAAACCATTATATAGAAGAAAAGGGTCAATGTCTACAATATAACGTTATATATTATTTTTGGATCTTTTTTTTTGTCAGCTTTTGATTGCTTTAGGAAAAAGCTGGGACTTTAGGTTGCTTCTCGTGAATCTTCTCTACTTTTTTTTTCACTTGTGCTTTTTGAAGATATTTTTAACCATTAAAGCCTTGAATTTTATTAGCATTTTATAAGAACAACAAAAACTGAAAATTATCCTTTTGTATTTGATAGTAATTTTCACCATTTTGTTGAAAATTTCATTTTAATTTTTAACGATGCTATAAGAAATTAGGCAAGGATAATTTTTTTAAAACAAAACAAATAAAAATTGACTCTTTTTTAAATCAATTCAAACAAAATTAATTTAAATGTACTTTTTATCTTTCATAAACAAACTAATTTGAAAAATTTGAGTGGCATGAAAATTTTAAACAAAAACCGAAAAATACCTATTGAATTTTATATAACTTGGTATTATCATCTAGACCCAACTTAAAAAAAAAAAAAAAAAAAAAACTCTATGAAATCAATAACTCGTTGACTATAGGCCATGGTTTTTCAAAAATATTAATTAGTTGACTTTTGCATGTCAAAGCAGAAACGAATGAAGATCCCCTATTCTTAATTAGTTCATTGATATTCAATTAAACATGATTAGGTAGCTAATCAATATTTATCATGATTCAATGGACCACTATAGATTATCAGTACCAGTGGACTCGCACCGATTGCTGCTACCTCTTATCTTTACTTAAAAAATCTCAACATTAAGAGACTACGCGTGTTTTTTCTTAACCCAACAGATTGTAAATAAGGGACATGTACAGTAACAAACGAATGAGAATGAACAAAGAGACCAATATGTAACAACTCTCAAAGAACAGAGACAATTTGGTAGCAGAAGCAAGTTGAACACTAACATAAATGCAATAATCAAATGATGACAAATTGACAATAGAATTTAGAATACATAAGGAGGTTACAGAGTCTTACAACATTTCAATCAGTAAAGAACAATAGTACCTAAGTCTTGTTGTGCTGAGGTGTTTTCGTCGCTCTCTCCAGATCAATCTTGCAATTTTCTCTCAACTCTTTCATGGTTACGAAGCTATCTTGCTGCAACATTATCAATAACAATGTACATCAAAACACAGAACACAAAGTTTTCACAGACTAAAACAAACAATTACTCAACTAGAACACTTTTGCAGTTTTGTTATGAGAATCTGATAAGAAGCTCTACAGGAACTTACGAGGTGGTTGCTTTCACGAGCCAAGATACCCTCCATGTTAAGAAAGAGAGATGTCCATTGACCCATGAGATCGAATTCTGAATTTGCAGAGTTATTGGAGTTTTCCGATCCATGAATATCCGTTGGCTTTCCTTTACCGTTCCTTTGGATCAGGCTACTAGCTTCTTTCTGGCTCTTCTTCAACACTGCATTTAAACATAAATTCATATGACCATTACATGGAATTTGCCACCATCAATCGACTCTGAATGTTGCAGTGTAATGAGAACTCTTACCAGATAATCGACCTTTGATATCCTGATAGTGAAGATCTGACCAGATATACGCAGCTGAAGACATTCAATACATCCACAAACTAAGTTAGATAATGGTATTATGAATCAGAAAGATGGTACAAATAAAGAATCAGACAAACCTTTCAGGCAAAAAGAACAAGAGCAAGATTTGAGCTCATCATCAGCGTGATTCACAATCCCCATACTCTCAACAGCCGAACATCTGTTGATACTAAACGATTTGATACTAGCCTGAGAATTAGGTAACAGACCCGTTCCTTCAGGAGCCACCATCGCCAACTTGTCATCACTTTCGCTGTTGCTGCTACTGACTAGAGTCACGGTTAAGTCTTCACCGGTTTGACTCCCAAAGTCAGGCATGTTTGAGTCCTCCTTGTTCTGACTAAGTTCCACCACAGCATCACCATCCTCAACTTTCAAATGTTGAACACCATTTTCTACTGCATTGGTTTCACCCTGAGATTCTTTTACATCGACATTTTCTGAATCACCACCGAAACTGTTCTTGTCATCAGAAGAAGAACCGTCGTTTGTATCACTAGTCCTAGTACTCTCCTTGACCAAGTCGTCTACAACTAAACACAACCTCTTGGAAAACTTTACACCGGAGCCTTCACGAGCAACAATCTTCCCGGAATCATCTCCAGATTTCAATAGAAAATCACCCAGAATCGAAGAAATCGCTCTCTTGCTCGGAACATTAGTCATATCACTCAAAGCCAAACGTGTTTCCTTGGACACTAAGCTGCACCTATCTCCAGTCATCTTCAAATTCACCACAAAAAAAAAAAACAAAAAAAAGGAGAAAATTTCATTTTCGAACTAGAAATGCAACAAAAAACTCAAATTTCACAGGATTGAAACCAACACACAGCGAGAAATTAGATTTAGCCCCAAAACAAAACAAAAACCCTAAATTTTTGGAGGTACAATTAACACTCCAAATGAGAAATTCAACAGGAACCTCACCGGACAGTTCGAATTCGGAATCATAAACTGAAAGCTTGCTAGAAAATGAAGCGATTCGTACATAAGAAAATGGAATTAACACTTTAAAATCAACGAAGGCGAAATCAATCGAGTTTGGGTTACTAACCAATGGATTAATGGCATCGGTCGATGGCTGAGAAATCTTCGTTTGAATCGGAGACGAAAACAGTCTGAGAGTCTGAGTAGTGAATTAGGGTTTTTGGAGGTTGTTGAGGCGGGAACCTGTGCGGATTTTCCGATCTTAGATTTCTTTTGACCCGCGTTTCGAATTACGACTTGGCGTCGGACTCGGGAGTCGCGCGCGGTCCCGCATCTTCTTAATGGGCCACAGTTGAATAATCTAAGCCCATTAAATTTAAAAGCCCAATCATTTTATAGAAAGAACAACAAAATCTTATCTGACAGCGATGTGTTATGTATGTACAGCGTACTAGTTGAAAATGAGGATGAGATCAAAAAAGGTCTCCTCGAAAGGAGCGCCAAAGAAGCCAAAATACTATCCACTTATAACTCAACACGTCAGCGATGGTTATGTATCCACGTCATCTACCTTGCCGTGAAAGCATTCACTTTTAAAATCTGAAGATTTTTTCCTTTTTTTCTTTCATATCCATTAATTTCCAGATAAAACAAATTCACCGGTCTCCTCCTTCTTCAACAGTTACAATTTCTCAATTCTCATTTGATTTTTTTGTTTTCTCGAATGGAATCGCGGCGAGGTAATCCGATGGCGGCGGAGGGAGAATTTTCCGAGCTAGCTGCAACGAGGAGGATCCAGCGATTGTCGTCACACATTTCCCCAGCCGTAGCGACGCCGTCGGCGCCGTTGCTGCAGACGGAGGCGTGTGTTTCGCGGCCGAAGAAGCTGGAGGTCAATGGCGAGGCGCTGTCGCTCTACCTGAGAGGGAAACACATAGATATACAGGAGAAAGTGTACAAGTTCTACAATTCGCGCCCCGATTTACTGACGCCGATCGAGATCTCGATGGACGATCATCGGGAATTGTGTATGAGGCAGCTGTATGCGCTTGTACGAGAAGCTGGGGTTAGGCCGTTTTTGTACGTGGCGGACGATCCGGAGAAGTATTTCGCGATCATGGAAGCTGTTGGAAGTGTGGATATGTCGTTTGGGATTAAGATGGGCGTTCAATACAGGTTAGTAGTTTTAGCTCCACAATCCATTTTTGAATCGAAAGTTTTAAGAATTTTCGCTGCAAATGAGAAATTTAGTATTGATTTTGTGGTATAGTTGTCGATGAAAGTTTGATTTTGGCATCCATATTCTGGTTTGATTATGTTAGAATTTAGACGAATTTCTGGGTTTATCTCAGAAATTTTGGAGCTTCATAGTTTGCATTGACTTTTTTGTTGTTGTGGAACCTCTGTATAGTCTTTGGGGAGGCTCTGTGATCAATTTGGGAACGAAGAAGCATAAGGACAAGTATTTCGAAGGCATTGATAATCTCGACTACACTGGTTGCTTTGCTATGACTGAGCTCCACCATGGTGAGTGATGATGATGATGACTTATGCGTAATAATGTTACCTCTGTGTGTCATTAGTTTACTAACTATTGTGTTTTTGTTTCCACAAGGGTCAAATGTTCAAGGTCTGCAGACCACAGCCACATTCGATCCAATCAAAGACGAGTTCGTAATCGACACACCTAATGATGGAGCCATCAAATGGTGGATCGGAAACGCTGCAGTTCACGGGAAGTTCGCCACTGTTTTCGCTAGACTCATCCTTCCGACTCATGATTCCAAAGGAGTCTCGGATATGGGTGTTCACGCCTTCATCGTTCCCATAAGAGATCTGAAAACCCACCAGACGCTCCCAGGTGTTGAAATCCAAGACTGTGGACACAAAGTTGGCCTCAACGGAGTCGACAACGGTGCGTTGAGGTTCCGTTCTGTGAGAATACCCCGTGACAATCTTCTCAATCGGTTTGGAGATGTGTCAAGAGATGGGAAGTATACAAGCAGCTTACCAACGATCAACAAAAGATTTGCTGCAACACTTGGTGAGCTTGTAGGTGGCCGTGTTGGCCTTGCTTATGCATCTGTTGGCGTCCTTAAAGTTTCCGCTACGATAGCCATTCGCTATGCGTTGTTGAGGCAACAGTTTGGTCCTCTGAAGCAGCCTGAGGTCAGTATTCTTGATTACCAGTCTCACCAGCACAAGCTCATGCCGATGCTTGCCTCGACCTATGCGTACCATTTCGCAACTGTGCATCTCATAAAGAAGTATTCAGAGATGAAGAAGACTCATGACGAGCAATTAATTGCTGATGTACATGCGCTCTCTGCTGGACTCAAGTCTTATGTGACGTCTTACACCAACAAGGCACTCTCCGTCTGCAGAGAAGCTTGTGGAGGACATGGTTACGCAGCTGTTAACCGGTTTGGAAGCTTGAGGAATGATCATGACATTTTCCAAACGTTCGAAGGAGACAACACAGTGCTTCTGCAACAGGTATAAGAAACTTTCACCTTCTCTTGAGAATAGTAAATGATACTCAATACTCAAAATAGTTTTGGTTGTTCATCTGTAGGTGGCTGGTGATTTGCTGAAGCAATACAAAGAGAAGTTCCAAGGTGGGACGTTGACAGTTACGTGGAACTACTTGAGAGAGTCGATGGGTTCTTATTTGGCTCAGCCAAATCCTGTCACAGCGCGTTGGGAAGGTGAAGATCATCTAAGGAATCCTAAATTCCAGCTTGATGCTTTCAGGGTGAGTTAGTGTTTAGTGTTTACTACTATAATATAATCATCTATCTCTCTGGCTCTCGCTGACTTCATCCATCAATAACACTCGTTGCTCTGTCTCTTACAGTATCGAACATCGCGTCTGCTACACAGTGTGGCAATGAGGTTGAATAAACACAGCAAGACTCTTGGAAGTTTCGGTGCTTGGAACAGATGCTTGAATCATCTCTTGACACTTGCAGAATCTCACATTGAATCTGTCATTCTCGCCAAGTTCATCGAAGCGGTTAAAAAGTAAGAAGTCTTCCATAATATTACTGGAGAAATCAAGTTTTGATTAGTCTCTTATTGAAAAATCATCTTTTTGTTCAGCTGTCCGGACCCAAGTGCAAGAGCTGCTCTGAAGCTAATGTGTGATCTTTACGCATTGGACCGAATCTGGAAAGATATAGGAACTTACCGTAACGTGGATTATGTGGCGCCTAACAAAGCCAAGGTTTGTTTGTTGTATTTATCCACAAATTGGACTGATTTCTCGATTTCTTTTTAAAAACTTAAATCTTTGTTCATTTTTTTTTCTTTGCAGGCGATTCACAAACTGACAGAGTATTTGAGTTTCCAAGTGAGGAATGTGGCGAAGGAATTAGTGGACGCCTTCGACTTACCAGATGAGGTTACTCGAGCACCAATTGCTATGCAGGCTGATGCTTATGCACAGTATACTCAAGTTGTTGGATTCTAGAAAAACAGGCCAAGGGAAAAAATAAAATCAGATTTTAATCACAAAATAATCTTAAAAAATAACAATTTTTAGTTCGTCGAAGAAAATCTGCTGTGTCTTTTGTATGTGTGTGTGTTTCGTTGTTAAAAACCCAAGTAATAAAAGATCAAAGCAAACTATTTTTAGATCAAACAATTTGGAGACATCTTTTATGAATTTTCGAGTGGTTAAATGCTGTAGTTACACTACACATCAACATACGAAGATAATAATTTATGCTAAAGTTGAGTAGTAACGAATATGAATATTATATAAGCAAATCACTCTCATATCATGTGTAAACAAACTCTTATATAAAAATGCGTGGGTAAAAGTAAAACGTGGTGGGCGTAAGGTATATAAATTGCAGAGGTCACATAATCCCTAAAATCCTTCACAAACATCCAAAAACCTCAAAACTGTCACCAGTTAACCATCCTCTTAACTCTTGCCTGTGTAAGTTTGGCCCCATCTTCACACATTGTGATCCATAAACATATCTTATTATACAATTCTAAATATGCACTTTCAGTTCCACCGCCACGACTAATATATCTTCATACTATAATTTTTCAGTTGTCGGATGACATTCCTAATGATGTAATAAAAGGAACCATTCGCGCGATTTGAGGTTTACAAATCTGTTAATTCCCGAAGGTAACTCTTCACCACATATCACATGCACACACATTATTTTATATTGTTTCGCTTTCTTAGGACACGCAAATATCATTTCACACAAGACCGAGCAGACCTCGACACGTCCCTCTCCAACATGCACACCTCTTCCTCAACATATATTATATGATTTTATCCTTATTATTTCTCCTTTAATATAACAAAATACGACATATATGACACAAGGTCAAGATCCTTATATGTAACTTAACCGCCAATAATATCTCAGTCGATCATGTATATAACGAAAACTCGAGTAGTCGCAAGGGATCATTTGTTTTCTCAAAACATACAGAGAAGTATAATAAAACTATACACTTCAAAAAGAAAAAAAAATGGTGGAGGTCCAAGAGTTGGAACCACTTAGTCCAATTCAAGACGACGAGGACGTTGATTACGAAGACGAAGAAGACGCTTTGGACCGTTTCAGTGAAGACATAAGCTACGATGATCTCAAGAAACGCATGTGGAAAGATCGAAACCTCATGTCTAAGCTCAAACAGCAAAAAAGAGATAATGATATTAATCATGATCACCACTCCGTTATCTCTTCGCCGTCATCTTCCACGTCAGCACCATCCTCTTATTCCGCTATCGTGCGCCGAGCGGAAGCTTCACGCCGCAAGAAGATGGCTAGATCTCAAGACTCGGTGTTGAAGTACATGATGAAGATTATGGAGGTCTGCAAAGCTCGAGGATTCGTCTACGGAATCGTACCGGAGAAAGGTAAACCGGTAACGGGATCTTCCGACAGTTTAAGACGTTGGTGGAAAGAAAACGTTCAGTTCGACCAGACCGCTCCAAACGCTGTTTCTGACTACTTAACATTAGCGGCTGCTCAGTTACTTTCATCAGACGAGTCTCTAGATCCAAACTCGTATATCCACATGCTCCACGAGCTGCAAGACACGACGTTAGGTTCTTTGTTATCGGCTTTGATGCAACATTGCGTGCCGCCGCAACGGAGGTTTCCGTTGGAAAAAGGTTTGGCTCCGCCGTGGTGGCCGAACGGGACGGAGCTATGGTGGGGAGAGCAAGGAGCGGCTGCGTTTGAACACGGTCCGCCGCCGTATAGGAAACCGCACGATCTTAGAAAAGCTTGGAAAGTTAGCGTTTTGGCGGCTGTGATCAAACACATGTCGCCGAATTTGGAGAGAGTGAGACGGATCGTGAGGCAGTCCAAGTGTTTGCAAGATAAGATGATGGCTAAAGAGACTGATACTTGGTCCCGTTTGTTGAATCAAGAAGAAGCTCTTCTCAAGCGCCTCAAGCTCTCTGACGATGACGAAGAGGAGAATCAAGAACCGGCAAGATTCACTAGTTTTAATCAAGAATCGTCGCTAAACGCAAGTTCTTTTGTAGCGCAAGAACAAGAACCGTCAACATTGATTAGAAAAGACAAAAGGGTTGATGAAGAATCTTCCCTAGGCAACAGTTTTCTTGTAGCGCAAGATCAAGAACCGTCGTTAAATGATTGTTTTCTTGTAGATCAAGAACAGTTTGGAAACAAGAGAAAAGGTGAGTTTGTGGAGCAAGAAGAGATGTTATCAAACGTATACACGTGTCAAAACACGAGTTGTCCTTCGAGTGATGTGAGTTTTGGATTCGTCGACAAGAACCTAAGGACAGGACACGAGATTGAGTGTCTCTACGGGGCTCAAGAACCGACAAGACAGAGTAGCGGCGGCGGCGGCTCGGACGGGTTTGCGCGGTCGATGACAACGAGTGACGATGATTACAGCGCGAGCTCGAAAGCAGAGGACACTATGAATTATCATCATCATCAAGATGGAAACTGGCTAGATTACCTCTGGTGCGAGAGGTTACATGACTTGAATTGTTCTGATCAAGGATTCGTGGATCACACAACTAGCTCGGTGGATTTGAACCAGTTACCAGATCATTCTGATTCGAACCAGACCATGAACGAGGAACATTTCTCGTTATGGGACATGGGTTGTGAAGACAAAGATATCTACATGTCTCAAGATTGAATAAAAAATCTGAACTTTGGAATATATTCTCTTGTTACAATGTGTTAAAAACAGAGTTAAGAGAATAAACAGAGGAAAAAAAAAAGTTATGGTTATGTGTTGTTTGTTTGCTGATTTCCTCCAAAGCTATACAATCAAGAAATAAAACTTTTTTTTTTTGTCAAAAAAAGAATCTTAGTCGTAAAAACTATGCCTTTGTGGAGTGCAATCTTCAAGAACCAATTTTGCAGCCGAACAAGAATAACCTTTCCTGAATCTACCTTTGTTCAGACTCTTGACATCAACCTCTACCGCAAATATTGCGCAAACCGGTCTGTGATCTGAAAACCTCGACTCGCCTCGTATATATGAAAGCTGCTCTATTCCTTCTCCTCTCCATAGAATCCGATCACACCTGAAAACACCATTCCTTTTTGAAAACAGAGCTTTTTTTGTTTTTATGATAAGACATGGTTTAAGGGTTTGGATAGTACCAAGCAGGAGTTCGCCGTTTTTTCTTGGATTTGGTGGTTTCACCGGCGTAAGCATCAGAGTTTTGAGTGTATTTATAAGTTGGAGCAAAGAAGATTTGACCTTCTTGAAATCCAGAGAAGACTCTTCCTGCTCCTCTCTCCATGTTAAGCTGAAATCATTAGAGATCAAAGAAGTTGTTAAACTGCTAAAAAAGAATGAAAACTTGAAAGATAGATTGTTTATTTTTTAAAACCTGGTCTTTCTCAAGAAGAGTGTCCCAATCATTGTCTTCCATTAACACTCTTGTCTCTTCATAGGTTAAAGCAACTCTGTAATTCAAATCTCCAAGCCAAAGCACCCGGCTGCAAATTCCAAAAACAGAGTCTTTTTAGTCATTTTTATTTTCTTGCATGAAAAGAAAAGCTTATCATTCCATGAAACATACTCGTGATCAACGATCCTTTCAGGTGCACGACAACTAGGGTACTTGGTTATTTTGGGGAATTGAGTATGTTTCAGAATCTCAGCTACGTCTGCGTTTCTTCTCAGCTCATCACCTTCTTTCTCACCAGAAGCCAAATGGCTACACACAAAGCAAAAGCTTGTTTGGTGCAATGACATGCTTATAGCAATACATCCCTGTAAAAAGAAAACACAAAGATTCATATACTTTTTTTTGCTCAAGTCAAGAGTCTTGTATATTTTTATAGAAAGAAATTGTTGTACCTTGTTGCCCAAGCGACCCATGATTCCTCTTCCAACAGAATCAAGTCTAAGATGAGATATGTGTGGAATCAGCTCTTTTCTGGCCCAAACAGACAAAAACAAACCGACCATTTGTTTACTCGCAATCAATCTGTAACCCATTTGTCCTGGCATCTTCGTAGTCGCAGGAACATCATCAAACAAGAAATTCTCATGAACCCTAAAATTCTCAGGCTCCACATTGTTGTTGCTATCTGCAATGGGATCACTAAACCTTTTCGATCTCCTACCTTCCCAACCAACGGAAGTATCAACAACCGGACAGTTACAAGTCTTCAAAAGACTTGAATCCACTCGATAGTTTCTGCTCAAGACTTTAAGATTCGGTCTTTGAAAGAAACTTAGACTGCTTGGTGTTCTTGACTCCTCGTTACCACAACTACTACTACTACAAGTTGTTGTTCTTGAAGAAGCAGAGAAAGCTGCGTTTGAGTAAACAGAGTCTTGTCTCGGTTTGTTTAAAGCTTGGCTTATTAGAGCTAACCATTTAGCTGCAGGCTCGTTGTCCTCAACTACTAATACGTTTCCTGCACTTAGTGGAACAATCTCTTGAAACCTGGGATAATGATAAAAACAAGAAAGACTGAAACTTTATTAAGACCCATTAATTAAGTTTCTTGCTTTTTATTCAAGTTTCATTTCATACCCACAGATGTATAAATCTGCTGTGCCTTCAACGAGTAAGAAGTCTTCTAGGTTAAGATCGTTGTTTGGTGTTCTTCCACCTACGTTCCACGTAGCTACAAACACCCTGTGATTTGAAGAAAAAACAAAGAATTTGAATATGGAAAACAAAATGAAGAAGGATTAAAGAAATTAATCAAACATAGAGATTCATTTCGAACCTGAGCTCACGAATCTCTGTTGTTGGTGCCATTGGCCTATCAAAAGTCGATAGATTCAAGCCTTCAATTCCAGGGCTTGACTTTCTCTCTGGCCATTTTTACCAGAAAACATAACAAATCTTGCTTAGGAGACTCTCTATTTCATTTGGGATCAAGAAAACACTAATCTTGATTAAACATAAAAGAAAAAAGGTGTGCCCAATGTTTTGACAATGTACATCTCTTTCGCTTTCGTTAGCAAAGTAACCCAATCATGTGAACAAATTAATGTCAAATTTTTCTTGTTAGGTTACCCAAAAAATCAAATTGTTCCTAACCACACATTGACAAAAAAAAAATCAAATTACCAGAAACAGTCTTCCAAATCATTGGAGAAGTGTTGTCAAGAATCGATTTCTTCCGAGAAGCCATTCGTCTCTCCAAATCTAACACAAGCATGATCCGAATCGAATCGTTAAACAGAGTTTGAAGATTTCTTGTGATGTACGTAAAAACTATTAAAAAATAAATACCATCGGAATTTCCATTTTTGCTGTTATGTTCTTCGTCATGATGTCCTTTGTTGTTCATATTATTTGACGCATCTTCTTCTTCTTCTTTACCAAATCGTCGTGATCCGAAAAACTTCGGAAGAATTGACTAAAACAAAACGAAAAAAAAAAATTAATGGGTTTCACGTCGTGACATTTTCGAAGAGAATTAAAATATAAAAAATCCGGTGAGAAAAATAATTGAAGGAGGAAGAGAGAGGGAGAGAGAGAGAACCTTCTTCCTCTTCTCGCTTCGGAGGCTGTTCTCAGAGTCGCTATCTTTATTGGAACTCATTCATCAAAATCTTGTAAACAGAAATTAAAAAAAACAAACAAATTGGTAAACAAGAGGTGTTATTCAAATTTCAAAACATTAATCTGAGACTTGATAGATCTTGGAAATCGTGCGGAGAAGGACATTTATTTATTTTATTTTGTTTTTGTTTTTGTTTCTAGGGTTTGATTTTTCCACGACTATCAAGTGTTGGCATGAGCAAACTTATTTACTGTTTATTTAATTCCATTAATATAATTAATTAGCAGAGAAGATGATTTTTCTTTTTCTCTTTTTAATAATCGGTTTGAAATGATCAGATTTTGGCGCCAGCTCCTTCGGAGGTCTTTAATAACATCGGAGACATGCTTACGGAGAATTTGTTGTTTTTTATGGAATCATTTACATTGACCACGATCAAACACATGATTGTGGTTGTGGAATTGATGTTTTTACGTAAAAGTAAAAGCGTTTAGTAGTAGAATTTTAATTTTTACAAAAAGTATACTGGTTTGTTTGTGGAGTAATTGAACAAACCATAAAATTAAAAGTAGTTTTAGTTTATGGTATTTTACCAAAAAAATAATGCATCATTGAACAGCAAGAACAACAAGTGTTACGATGGGCCCATATTTCTAATAAATGAGCCGAATCTGGGCCTTGACCATGACAGATAAGACCGAATCTGGGCTCTAACCATGACGGATAAGACAGCTCTACCGGATTTACCGCCTGAAATCAAATTCTATTGCTCTTTCTAAATACAGTTTTTAACTTTTTAGAGTTTCTAAAAAAGGCCGAATTATCTGATATCATTCTGATTTCTCCCTAAAACGAAATAATAATCACAAAGTCAAAATTAAGAGCTAAACTCAGTACTAAGAGAATATGCTGTATCTTTGCCACGAAGGTAAAGTGACAAGTAGCAATTAAATACAAAACTTAGTTTTGGCCTTTAGGGTTCTTGCGCTGAAGTAAGTAAATTTCTCTGTATACTCACCAGTTCCTAGTTCCAGACAAGAACACACAAAATTCGAAACTGTAATCCTGTCTCCGAAGGTAACAACAAAGACTAATATTTTAATTGATGTTTTTCGTTGGATAAATGTTTTTCCTTAAAACAAGAGGATTTAAAGATATGTAGCTTATTTATGGTTTACAAATCTGGTTTTTGTTTACATTTATTTCTGAATCAGGATGGTCAGGATGGTGAAAATCAGCCGTTGATGATGGTGGTTACTTGAGAAGCGAGAGAGTCTTCGGTGCTCTTTCATCCTCTGTTTCCACAAACTTCTTCTCCTCAATCTGTAAGAAACTAAGAAAATTCTTTACATTGCTTTTTCTTTCCATATAAATATACTAAATATTAAAATATGGTTTCATGGTTATTTTTGTTTTTTTTATAAAATTGAAAAAAAAATGGGTTTCACTCAAAATTGTAATAGTATGAATACTGACCATCAAAGTCCTTTAATTTGATCTCTAAAAAGTAAATACTAAACATTCTTTTTCTACAGCTAACAAGAAAATCTAGAGCTTAAAAGTTAAAAGCATGTTTCTTTATGACAGTTTCACAAGATCAAATTATGGGTTTCACTCAAAATTGTCTTACCATTCATCAAAGTCGTCTTTGACTTTCATACGTATGTGTATCTATCTAATGCCTATGATAAACTGATTAATTATTAGCTTCTAGAAGAATAAGAGATGGTACCGTTGTTAGCTGGCTAGCCAAAACCTGGTTCTGTTCCCTCAACATCTTCTCCTGTTTGAACAAGATCACAACTCCATCAGCTTCTTACATTTTCAAAAACATCAGTCCTCACCGCAGCTCGGTGATTCACCGAGGGAGAGAGTCAAATTTAATCAAGGTTTTCATTGAGTTTCATTTTAAAATGAAGCCAAGAATAGATCAGGAACTACGACAAGACCAAAAGACATATCTAGAGAGCTAATTTGGTCTATATATTCTGAAGTTAAGAGGATTCAAGAACGAGAGCATAGCATACAAAGGCTTGGATATCGAGTAAAAACCAAAGCACTAACCTTTTCTTGAAGGGTCTTCGCCATCTCCATCGCTAGTTCTGTCTGCAACAAGACAATGAGGATTGTGTCAAATCGCAAACGTGATCTAAAGTCAGACAAAGGTCCAAGGACAGGTCTTGGAAAGTAAAGTAGACAAGAGATTTATGGAATATCAGCAGATATACCTTCCTAGCTCTAGTTTTAGACAGAGAAGTATTAAAATGCTCTTCCAGGGAAATTAGAGACTCTACACTTATATCATCTCTTTTCGCTTCTTCAAGCTTGCTGCACACATGTATATTGATATATTAACAATTAGAAAAGAAAATCTGTTTTTGATCAGAGGAACAAGGAAAGAAAATAGTCTTAAGATCTAACCGTTCGACTATTTCAAGCAACTCCTTAAGTGTAAGATAATTCCGAGTTTTTGGACCCTGCCATCAAAAAAGGGAGGGTGGGGTAGGTCGGAAAGGTTGTGAGTTTCTTGTGTTGTCAAAAGAGAGAAATGATTTGTAACCCTCAAGCATTAAGATTGGTATACGACAAGTGAAGACCTTGTAGTGCATCATCGGCATTCAAGACCACTCTTCGAGGAATGAGTTTACTATACATGGATGATGACAAGATATGCAGAGTTTCAAGAAAAACTTACAAAGGTTTTAAGATCATCAGCACGTTGTGTCTCGTAACGACTGAGGATCTTTGTCATGCTAGAGAGAGATCAAGAAAGAAACAAAAAGTCATTAGTAATAATCCATGCAAAACCATTTCAAAACAACGAAACAAATATAACATCAAAAGAGAGACCCTTAATAAAATTATATATAGCACAAATTTGTGTTATAGCATCAACATAAGTTTTAGTAACTAACTTACTCAAGGCCTCTATATAAACAAACGTTAGTGTATATCGCTTATATAAAAACACAAGGTTGGTTAACTCGTAGTATTTTTGAATTTTCCTAATGATATATATATATATATATATATCCATATTTAGTTTGTTTTTTTCCAGGACACAAAAAACCTTTGGCTCAAGTAAAAGCACATTGTATAGTGCCATTAAAATAAGTTATCACAGGAGCTGCCATAAGAAACTACCTACAGCTAGTGTATTGACTGACTATTGTAAACACTGAGGCAAAAAAGTCCCGTTAGTCCTATCTATATAACTCTTGCATGTTAAGTTGCGGTGTTAAATATCAAGGCAAGCTTTATATATTGTGACAAAAGGCTACATTCCCATATCACTGATGGTTTTTGTAGGCAATTTCTAGACTCAGTTCGGTTCTTTGTAATCATCACATAGCCACATACGATAGGTTAGGAAGAAAAACCGCATGATAAAATTTATTGGACCAAATGAGATTCACTAGATGAGGATCAGTTTCTTTGGCCCATGAGACCCAAATAGCTACAAAAAAGAATTAACATGCATTGCAAGAAAAAAAAAGAAGAGCTACTGAGTAGTATAGGCATGCATTTTGTAAATTGCCACACAAAAAAAATGGTGAAAATAGACATCTTATGAAAGGAGAGTTATGCAGTTTGTGTAAAAGCTATCAATCAGAGACTTCTCGATAATCATCCAAGCGCTAAATTTAACCATCAAAATCAACTAAATCATCTACAGACTACAGTAGAGTTGTACTTAAACCAAAAATTGGCATCCCCTCCATTCTAGAGATTCTTGATATGTAGCATCACCTCCAATTAAATTCTCAACAAATGTAAACGGGAAATGCGTTGAATTGGGTAAAGAGAGTAATGCTCCTAAGATAACTTTAGAATTAAACAATGTGTGCATTGTTCTTATAAAACCATAGAAGAAAAAAAAACTCAACAAAAAATGGGATAGCATAAACACAAAATTAAGATGACTTCAAATCCCAAAACAACCACAAAGTACGGCTTACCACGTGTAGAGAAATTTCTCCAAGTACATGCAATACTACAAATATATAAAGAAACAATGGAAAACGAAAACCCTCCAAGAAATTAAAACAATATAAAATGGGGAAAAAAAAAACAAAAAAAAAAATCAACACCAAGAACACCTTTGGCCATCACATTGTTTAATCTTAAATTTGGTTAAACCCACACATCAATTATGGACCTAGATTAAACAAGAAGATCAGCTTTAAAGATTCAAAGGGGGAAAAGAAGAAACCCTAGTTTTTAGTTTCTATTTTTCTCGACAAAAAAAAAACACAAAAGGGAATCTAGAGAGAATAGAGGAAAAAAATAGTGTTACCTATCGCCAGAGGATAAGCTATAGAGTTTTCCGGTGGAGGAGAAGATGACCACAGCGACGGAGGATCCGCAGAGAACGGAGAGCTGACGAGCTTTATCCATGAGACCATTTCGTCGTTTACAGAAAGTGGTGACCCGACTGCTTTTGTTCTCAATTCGTTTGATCTCCAGCTTTCGTCTTCCCATGGCTACTTTCTCCGACCAGTCTTACGCCTTAATTGGATTCTTCTGATGTCTGTTTAACTGGCCGGAGACACTTCACGTTTTTGCTTTTTTTAATTTGTTTCGGGGTTTTTAGCAAAATTCAAGAAATTCTTTATGTTTTTATTTTTTTGTGTTAAAAGAAAATACTGTATTTTGAGTTTTTTTTTTTGTTTTCTTGTTAACGACGAGAGAGCGACAAAAAAAGAGTTAACGATGCGTTTTAAACTTTTAATTTAATAGAGTTTAGACACCTATTTAACGCTTGTCGAATTCCCTGGGAGCGTTTTTTTCCTTCTTTGCGTATTTGGATTAAAATCTTACTACTAGTTTTTTTTTTTATTTGACTGAAACTTTCACTAACAAATCTTACTAGTTATTATCTCTTCGTTTTTTTGTTGTTAAATATCTTCGTTAATATTGGGAAAAGAAAAACTCAATATGTGTTGAAACGTTAGATACTTTTCTTTTCTTTTTTAAACTTAAGGAAGATTGTGGCTATGTGCTAATGTCCTTTCGAGTTGATCAGATGAGGAGGCTCCTAACTTGTCTAGAAAACGACGCCGTTCGTATCGTGATATGACCTGTAAGCCCATTTCGATTGGGCCCAAATATCGGCAGGCTCGCCTACGTAAGTTTACTGAACCGTTCATAACTTCATATCACGTTTCTACAAGATTAGCCGAGGGGCCCACTCTGGACTCAACCATGACAGGTTTAGACCTGTCTTTACCGGCTTTCCGCCTAAAATCATATTTTCCTTTTTGTTTTATTTTTGATAAAAAGGACAGTTTTTATTCATAAAAAAAAACATAATTATATCTCCAAAAAGAAAATTCAAATTTAACAGCTAAATTACTGTAACTTTGCCCCGAAGGTAAAGTGACGGACGGCTATCAATTAAAATAATTTTAAAAAATAATTTTGGTTTTAGGGTTCTTCATGCTGAAGAAATCAAATATATTATAAACTCACCAATTCCTTGCTTTCAGACAAGAAGACACAAAACGTACGAAACTGTGATCATGTCTCCGAAGGTAACAACAAAAGATCGATATTCTACTTGAGTGCTTTCCCTTGGTTGAGTTTTTTTCTTCAGATGTTTCGTAACAGTGGAAGAAGAGGATTTAAGATATGTAGCGTTTTCATGATTTACAAATCCAATCTTTTTACATTTTTTTTTTATTTTTGAATCAGGAAGGCGAAAAATCAGCCATTGATGATGGTGGTTACTTGAGCAGCGGGAGAGTCTCCGGTGGGATGTTGCCGGCGTAATTTTCAAGTGACATAACTCTCTCATCCTCTCTTCCCAGAAGCCTCTTCTTCACCATCTGTAAGAAACTTTCTTACATTTCTTCTTTTTTTACATATACTAAATTAATATTAAAGTTATTAACTAACAAGAATCTAAAATTTTAAAAGCTTGGTTTCTTCTTTTGAATTTTTATTTTAATTTTTTCTATTTACAAGTCTTACTCAAAATTGTGTAGCATGTCTATCAAAGTGCTCAACTTTCATTACCTTTCTTACATTTAGATGTTTTTTTCTAAAATTTAACAAGAACGGTATTTAATTTCTTTATGGAAAATTTTAAAATTATATTATCACTCATAAATGATGTTGTATGATACTACCCATCAAAGCCATTCACGAAATAAAAAATCATGGGTTCACTAAAAAATGTCTTAGCATTCATTCATTCGCTTTCGTAAATTATATGGCTATATTTGAGCAAGTGTGAATGTGTATAAAGTGTTTAATGACTAGCTTCTAGAAGCATAAGAGATGGTACCTTTGTTAGCTGGTCAGCCAAAACCTGGTTTTGTTCTTTCAATAGCTTCTCCTGTTTGAACAAGATCACAACTCCATCAGTTTTTAACAATTTCTAAAGAATTAATCCTCATCGCAGTTTGAGTTTGGTATTTCACCACGGGAGAGAGTGATTCGATCAAGATTTTAACTGACGCCTTCTTTATTCTTACTAGAGTTTAGCTAATAAATATAAAGAACTAACACAAGACATTTCTCAAGAGCTATACTTGGTCTAGTGATCTACATACTCTGGGGTTAAGAGGATTTCAAGAATCAGCATAACATACAATGGCCGGGATGGCGAATAAAAACCAAAGCACTAACCTTTTCTTCAAGGCTCTTCACGAGATCCATCATTAGTTCTGTCTGCAACAAGACATCGAGGATTGTGTCATATTGGAAACATACATCCAAAGTCAAGCAAGATCCAAATCTTGGAAAAGGAAGTATACAGAAGCAATCACAGCATATATACCTTCCTAGCTCTAGTTACATCCAGAGCAGTCTTGAACTGCTCCTCCAGGGAGATTAGAGCCTCTATACTTATATTATTGCTTTTCGCTTCTTCAAGCTTGCTGCATATATATATATATATATATATATATATATATATATATCATAGATTAACAAAAGAAAACAAAACCTTTTTGATTAGAGGAAGAAGGGGAAACAAGTGTTTTAATGCTAACCACTGGATTATTTCTAGTAACTCCTCGTGTGAAAGATGATTCTCTGTTTTTTCCGCAATATCCTGCCATGAAAAACAAGCGATGGGAATGGTCAGAAAGATATTAATTTTCTTGTGTTTTCAAGAGACAAAAATGATTCAACCCATGGAGAATTACGTTTGGCATACGCAAGTAATTAGAAACTTGCCACAGACCTTCTATGCCGATCTCTCTCCATAATGTTAAGGTACTACACAAATAACACATAGTAGCAACCATCTCAATGGACTATCTAGCTAAGCTTCTTTTTGCCTTAGACAAATTTCAAAAATTTGTTCTTGGTATACAACAAAGTTTAGAAACTTGTCGTGCACTTTCTAATGCACCCGCAATGAAGCTCTATGCCGGTCTCTCTCCATAATTTGAAGGTGCTACACAAAGTATCCACTTACATAAAACCATCTCGATTGACTATAAGCTAGCTTCTAAATGCTCATCTAAATTACATATGCATGTGTACATAAGAAAACCTTACCAAGGTTTGAAGTTCATCATTATGTTGCATTTCATAACGCTTGAGGATCTTGGCCATGCTGGAGAGATATCACGTAAGTAACAAAAAGGCATTAGAAATAATCCAAGACAAATTTCAAAAAAGGCATGTGTTACTATCAAAGGGAGTGTGCGTGAGTGAGGTATCGATATCCTATCAAAGGGGTAATGCAGCATGTGATAACTATCAATTAGTCTTCTTAACAGTTATCAAAGCACTACATATGACCATCGAAACCACCTACAAAACATTTTAAGCAACAAATGATTCAAAGGAGAAACTACTAAATCATCTTGAAAACACTTGAACTAGCCAGAATTGGGGCACACAAAATAACTTACACCTGTTCCAATCTAAAGATTCGTTACTAATTCTCAACAAATCTACCTGAGTTGCATTGAATTCGGTAAAGAGGAAAATGAGCCTAACTTGATCTCAATTTAAACAATCTACATTGTTCGTATATAACTCAAGTAGCAACAGAAAATTAAGGTGGCTTGAAATCCCAATAGACAAACATGAGTACGGATTACCACGTGTAGAAAAATCTCTACAAGTGCATGCAAAATTTATCAGAAAAAAATATAGAAAAAAAAATCATCGCTGCAACAAACAGAAACAATTAAAAATGAAGAAACACAATACGAACACGAAGGACATCTTTGGCCACATTGTTTAATCTTAAATTTGGTTAAGCCTACACATCGTACATAGACTAAACAAGAAGATCAGCTTGAAAGATTCAAAGGGGATAAGAAAAACAAAAAACCCTAGTTTTTTAGACTCTACCTATCTCGAGAAAAATTAACAATGGGAGAATCTAGTAAAGAGGAAATACAGTGTTACCTTTCTCCGGAGGAAGAGCTATAGAGTTTTCCGGTAGCGGAGACGATAACAGTAGCGACGGAGGATTCACAGAGAACTGAGAGTTGACGAGCTTTCTCCATGAGACCATTTCTTCTTTTACAGAAGGTGACTTGTCGACTGCTTTTGTTCTCAATTCGTTTGATCTCTACTTTTCTTCTTCCCATGGCTTCTTTCTCCGACCAGTCTTACGCCTTGATTGGATTTTGATGTCTGTTTAACTGGTCTCGGAGACACTGAACGTTTTTGCTTTTTTTTTTTTTTCTGTTTTTTTTTTGTTTTTTTGTTTTTTTTTTGTATTTTGAGCAAAATAAAATTTAAGACATACAGTAGAAACTCTATAAATTAATACTCGATAAATTAATAAACACGATAAATTAATAAATTTCTCTGGTCCCGAGTTGGGCCGGTGTAAAATATGACACAATTCGATAAGATAATAAGATAATAACTTTTTTTGAACTCTATGTAAAATATGGTCCCAATAAAATCATAAATTAATAATTATTTTTATTTATATATATATACATAAAATATATAACTACTAAAATATGAATCTCTCACATACCAAACATATATGGAAATTAAAAGCAAAAAAAGAATTTTATATAATATGGCAAGTATGAGCAAATCTGAAGAATAAAGTAAATATAGAAATATTAGAAAAAAATAAAGAAAATATACAGATAAAGGAAACTTCTGATTTAATATTGAATTTTATTTTTTAGAAAATATTTTTAGTCAAAATCTATATATTAATAACTCTATAAATTAATAAAATATCAAAGTCCACATTATTAATTTATAGAGTTTCTATTGTATATATTTTTTGTTTAGGTAATCGAGAGAGAGGGAAAAAAAAAACAATAAGAAGTGCTAAACGATGCGTTTTAATAGAGTTTCGATTTCCCGATAATAGCGTTTAGATTCTAGACGCGTGTTAACACATGTCGAATTCCTTGCGGTTTGTGTTTTTTTCGTTATTAATTTACTATTATCCCTTCATTAAAAATACAAAACTCATTATGTTGAAACGTCTTTTATTTTTTGGGATTATAAAAGTGAATTGAGGATTTGGATTTCTATTCATGTCCATGTAAATCCAACATGTGATGTACAATAATACTTTGATAATGTTTTGCTACTTAGAACCTTTCGAGTTGACTCGGCCTTCGTTCCGACTTCCGACTCGTCAAAACAATGTCGGTTGCGTCGTGACTTAACGTTATACAGATCCTTCGTGTTTTGGTTTGGGTTGTTACTCGCAATGGTTACACCATAGCCCCATTTTGGTTGGGCTCCGAATATAGGCCCATATAAGTGCATCCTATGTATTAGTACGTTTCATCTATTTATTTAGCAACAAACAAAAAAAAATATGGGGAAAATGATGAAACAACATCTGAAAGAGAGAACTTAGAGAAGGTATGTAAACCCGTTTCTCAAAAGAAAACAAAAAGTTTCTTTCAAATTTTGTCTTATGTTTCTTTCTAAAAAAGTTTCATGCACATACAACACATAAACATTAACCAGAACAGGTGGCTTTATCTTGGATATGTTTGGTGCCAACTCAATTGTGAATGTAATATCCGTCTTTACTGACAAAAAAAAAAAACATATGGCGCGATTAGTGGTATTTATGATGATATCAAGCATAGCATATATACCATGGTTCATTACCATTTCCCCATTGTAATGAAACCATCGTCAATGATATCTTATTTGGTTTAGTTTTAGTTTAAAAGAAGAAAGCGGAAAAGTATAATTCATTGTGTCTGTCGACTATCAACGAGTGTATAAAAGATGAAGACAAAACTGTAGAAACCAGAAAGATATCGGCTCAACCATGCAGTCTATACCGGTTTATATTATCCCTAAAAAAAAAATCAAAACTAACAGCTAAATTCAATACTAAGGATATGCTGTAACACTGCCACGAAGGTAAAGTGACAACTAGCAATTAAATAACCAAAGTTAACAATTTCGGCCTTTAGGGGTTCTTCACGCTGAAGAAATCAAAACTTTTATAAACTCACTAATTCCTACTTTCAGAACACAATTAGAAGAACCGTGATCCTGTTTCCGAAGGCAACTAAACAAAGATCGATACTTTATTTAAATTTAATGCTTTCCCTTGAAGAGGTGTTTCCTTCAATTCTTCCGTACCAGGGGAAGAAGAGGATACTGAAGTTATGTATAGCTTCCATATGATACAAATATGATATTTTTACATATTTTATTTATTTTTGAATCAGGAAGGTAAGCAATCAGCCGTTGATGATGGTGCTTACTTGAGCAACGGAAGAGTCTCCAGTGGGTTGTTGCCGGAGTTATTTTCCAGAGATGTCAGGCTCTCATCCTCTGTTTCCATAAACATGTTCTTCTCCATCTGTAAGAAACTGTTTTCATTTCCTCTTTTTGTTCACAAACTATATTGATTTTTACTAACAAGAAATCTAGATCTTAAAAGCATGGGTTTCACACAAAATTGTGTTGTATGACTGTATATCCTTCGAAGTAAGATTTTTCTAAATTATCACAAAAGACGTTTTCTTACATTTATTTTCTACAGCTTCTATGTAACAAGAAATATAGGTTAATAGATTTCCAAAGCATGTTCTTAATAACTTACTGATAACAAAAAGTTCAAATAATGGGTTTACTCAAAATTATGTAGTATCCATTGAAGTACTAACTTCATACGTATGAAGTACTGTATATCCAAATGCATGTGTATCTCTATCTAATGTCCATCTATCTGTGTATTACGTGACTAATTAGCTTCTTGAAGCATATCTGACTAATTAGCTTCCAGAAGCATATATAAGAGATGGTACCTGTGTAAGCTGGCTAGTCAAAACCTGGTTCTCTTCTGTCAACTGCTTATCCTGTTTGAGCAACATCACAACTCCATCACTTCTTAACAATTTCTAAAACACTCAATCTTGGGGAGAGTTGAATTTGATCAAGATTCTTACAACGCCTTTTTCATTCTCATTAGTGTTTCATTTAAATGAAGCCAAGAATAGGCAAGATTATGCGAAGAACTAACTTACTCTAGTGCTCTTTATACTCTGAGGTTAAGAAGATTCAAGCATGTAGACTACAATGGCCGGGAACGCAGATAAAAACCAAAGCACTTACCTTTTCTTGAAGGGTCTTCACAAGCTCCATCATTAGCTCTGTCTGCAACAAGACATTGAGGATTGTTTTGTATTAGAAACATGATCCAAATACTGTTCTTGGAAAACGAAGTGGACATAAGCAATCAGTTGGAATCAGCATATATATACCTTCCTATCTCTAGACTCTAGTTACAGACAGAGCAGTCTTGAGCCGCTCTTCCAAGGATATTAGAGAATCGATACTAACATTGTCACTTTTTGCTTCTTCAAGCATTCTGCATATTCCGTTTCATAAGTCATCAAAAAGGAAGTGTGGGAAAAAATAAGGTTTATTGCTAACCGTTGGACTGTTTCTAGTAAATCCTTGTGCGAAAGATAATTCCGAGTTTTTGCTGCAAGATCCTGCATGCCATGGACAAGGCGATGGAAATTGTCAGAATGATTCTCTGAATTTCTTGTGCTTCTAGGATACCTTGTCTGATCCCACATTGTTAAGGCGCTACACAAAGTACTTAACAACCATGTCAATAGACTTAGTTTTTACATGCTCATCTCAATTACATATGCATGTGTACGGTGTGCATGCCCCCTTGATCCTCGTGACCTGATAGGTTACAAGGTTTTAAGAAAAACTTACCAGGGTTTTAAGTTCATCAGCATGTTGGATTTCATAACGCTTGAGGATCTCGGCCATGCTGGAGAGATATCAAGAAATTAAGAAACAAAAATGCATTAGAAATAATCCATGTATAACATCAAACAGAGAGATATGTATTATATAGCAACAATTTGGGTTACCAGCACCTAACTATAGTTTTGGAAATGAACCTACTCAAGGCTTCTATAATAAAACTTACGGTCTAAATTTTCAGTAGACAATTTTGAAACACTCAAGGAATAAGCCGAGAAAATGGGATAAGCATTTTAGGGATAATTAGATATTGATAGGATTGAGCCCAAATCAAGCCCACAAACACTCGACAACAAAAGCTAGCTCACGTGTGAGGCAGTGAGGGTGCCTCTAGTAGGTCTTATAATGCACATACTTTGTTCTCCTCCTAACCACTGTTGGATTTCTTTTTATCTATACCTAGATTCACAAATTCAATCCTATTTTGTGTTGTCCATGATCTATAGCAAGATATCAAATTTTAGAGTGAATTTGATTCACTTGATCTTTATGTTGTTAATAGCATCCTAAGTTTTGATTTTAATCTATGCAATTAGTAAAACACATAAGAATCATAATCTCAAGTTCTAACATTTTCGCATAGTGCCACTAAATTAAGGCATCAAAGGAGCTACCAAAGAAACTAGATACAACTAAATGTCCGACTATTGTAAAAATTGAAACATTAAGTAAAAAGTTCAAGGCAATGCTATCAAGCTTTATATGTCGTGATGAAGGGATTATATTCCTATTCCTACAAGGTCTCTGCTCATTGTAATCACATAGGAAAAGGTTATATAGAGGAAAAACACAAGATAAAACGTATTAAACCAAAGGATAGTAGAGGCTCAGGCTCTTTGGCCCATGAGACCCAATAACTCAACAATATATTTTAAAATGCATAATGCATAACAAACGAGAGAATGCGCTACTGATACATCATGTAAGTAGTTATATGCACACAGAATTTATAATCAAAGAGGGCAGAAAATGGATGACAAGATTTGTAATCTAGTGGTTTGTATAAGTGTCACCGCTGTGTCATGTTCATATATTCGGTCGATATTCAATCCAAGGAGTAATGCAACATGTGTGAAATCTATCAATTAGAGATTTAGAGTCTTATATATAGTTAATCAAGCACTACATTTGACCATCAAGATCAGCTAACCCGTTTACTTAAGCAACAAAATCAATAAAAAAGAAACCAATAAATCATCTTGATACACTTGTAACCATAACCAACAGAATTTGCACACTTAAAAAAAGTGACACCTCTTGCAGTCTAAAGATTCTTTGATCCATAGCATTACCTCAGATAATTTTATCGACAAATCTACAGAAAATGCATAGATTTTAGTAAAAGGATATGCATAGATTTTAGTAAAAGGAGGATAATGAGCATACATTACTCTCGAATTAAACAATGTACATTGTTCAACTATAAGTAAACAGCAACAGACGAAGTACACAAAAATTAAGATGACTTGAAATTCAAATAGACGAACATTATAAAGTAGAGATCACCACGTGTAGAAAATCTCCCTGAGTGCATGCAAAAATTATTCTCACCGGAAACACAAACAAATCTCTACAACAAATAAAAACAATAAAAAAATGGAAAAACAAACACGACTTAAGAACACCTCATATATATATGGCCACCACATTGTTTTAATCTTAAATCTGATTTAACGAACACATCGATTATGGAAATGGACAAACTAAGAAGATCAGCTCTAAAGAGTCAAAAGGGGAAAAAGGAAAAACCCTAGTTTTCAAGTTTTATTTCTCGAGAAAATTTTACGAAAGAGGAAAAAAGAGTGTTACCAATCGCCGGAGGAAGAGCTATAGAGTTTTCCGGTGTTGGAGACGACGACAACAGCTACGGAAGATTCACAGAGAACTGAGAGTTGACGAGCTTTCTCCATGAGACCATTTCTTCTTTTACAGAAGGTGACTTGTCGACTGCTTTTGCTCTCAATTAGTTTGATCTCCACTTTTCTTCTTCCCATGGCTTCTTTATCCGACCAGTCTTTCGCCCTAATTTGATCCTGATGTTCGCATCACTGGTCGAAAAACACTCAACGTTTTGGCTTTCTTTTTTTTATTTATCCTTTTTGATTTGGGTTAATTTGTTGAATAACCATATTGAGCATCTAAATTAAGTTTATAGCCATTTCTATATGAAAATGAAGCAAATAACAAAGTGGTAGTAAAGTGGACAAAAATAGCCCTACAAAAGTTAATACGAAGGAGAGAGAAATTTATGTCTCTTCATTATCCCCTTTCTTCATTTTCTTCTCCACCTCCGACAATCTGAAAAATTATTCCAAATTTATACACATCTGACCTCAATTCATTACTGGGATTCATATATAATCTGATCCTTCATTCTTTAGTCTTTACTGATTCTCAATTGCACCAGGGCAGTAACACGTTAGTAAAATAGTATAGACTCACTTGATAAATGGAATAGTTTAAGAGAGAGGAGGAAAATACTAAAATTCGTGAGGATGAAGCTCACGGGATCTGTGCTCTTTCAGGGTTACTAAACTCTTCTATTCGCGGAGATTTTAGCCTTTGAGAAGTTCATAAGTTGGAATCAGGATTGAAAAAAACTTCTACTTTTTTCGCGTGAGATGAAACACACCTGATTTTGATGAATCGATTGTATAGAACAAAGAAACCCAAAAATCACTGAAACAAGTACACTTAATGAAAGTTGAGGAAATGAATTGGGAATGTAGCAATGGAAGATCGACTTTAGGAAAAACAAATAAATTCGATGAAGGCTTCTCTTGCCGCTTCACCAACCACAATCGCCTCCATACAAATGCTCATTCAAGATATGATGTTCAAATTTCAAACTGAAATTGCTCTCAAGTATCAGATAATTACGAGTTGTAAATATAGTTGTATGAATCTGATCCTTTTCTTATACTTTTCTTTTTCTTCTTCTACCCTATGTTCGCTTCACCAACATATAACCCCAAATCTGGTGCAAATTGTTTTCCATCTTCGATAATTGGAGTACGGAAATGAAGGAGAATAGACAGATAGAATTTGCGTTCAATTTCAGTGACAAAATCTGAATTTCTCTGGGTTTCCATTTCAATCCAGATGGAGAAGCGATGGAGAAGAGCTGAGAAAAAGAATAAGGGTATTTTGGTATATATTGTATATTATACAGAGAATATCATAGCCATCAAATAATATGGTTACTTGTTTAATTATAGTGTTTTTTATGGTTATTGGCTGCAAAATCCCAATTTGATTTCCTTGTCTCCTTTTTTTTCGTGTTTTTAGATAAAATCCAATCAGTATGTTTTTGTTTTGTTAAACGAGAGAAAAAAAAAAAAACAAAAAGACAATAACAAGTGCGAAAACGATGCGTTTAGACACGTATTAACGCATGTCGAATTCCATTCGGGCGCGTTTTATCCTGTTTGTCATTCAGTTAATATCTCAGTTAATAACTTAATATTATCTCTTCGTTTTTAATGATTAAAAAACAAAAACTGAAATGTACATTGAAAGTTGAAACTTATCGTTCATTTTATTTCACCACGTTTGTTAAAATTTTACAATAACCAGTAGATGCAATATTATTTTTTTTTGAACGAAGTGGGTGATCCAACAATTAATTGATGTGGCAACTCTAGTTTGGCCATATTGATAAATACCTTTCGAGTTGACTCTCCCACAATGCTTTCTTCCGACTCGTTAAAACGATGTCGTACTGTCGTATTATGGTTTATGCGGATCCCCTACAATCTACATTTGTCGTGTTGTGCGACTCACAAATATCACCGGGCCCGAATATGACTGGGAGTCTGGGACAATGAAATCTAGGCCCATTTGGTTAGCCATTTTAAATTCACCAAACCGCTTAAGTAAATTTGTCATTCATCATCACATTACTATATCCGCAGTTTTTTTGTTTCTGTTTATATTTATTTATTGAAACTATATCCGGAGTGTCTGGACCAGACAAGTCGTGAACAGAAAAACGGGAGAAACCCAATTACGACAGGGAAATTGAAAGCCAAGGAGCTCACGAAACTGCTAATCTTCGTTTATTTTCAGCATTCTCTGGAGTTTCGTGGCACCGAGAGCTGCCTCGTTTCGGGGGTTTATCGATTTCACATTCCGAATTTGAGCTTCGGAATATTGCAATTGAGACCACACATAATTTTAGGGATCTGATGATCTAAAAAATTCTGGATTTCAAAGCTGAGAGTGACCCAGTGTGAGTTAGTCTGAATCTCGGAGGCATCTAATTCCAGGTGCAGACTTGATGCTCACAAGCAAATGGGTGTTTCGAGATGACTCTCCTTGTTGGAGATTCAATAAATGGACGCACCAGAAAACAAAGCTCCTGGATTTGTTGATTTAGTCAGATCTTGGATTTCTAGAAAGAGTGAGTCTTCTTCACACATGTCGAGGGATTTCTGGATGCCTGACCAGAGCTGCCCTGTGTGTTATGAGTGCGATGCTCAGTTCACTGTATTCAACCGAAGGCATCATTGCCGGCTCTGTGGTCGAGTGTTCTGCGCCAAGTGCGCTGCAAATTCGATTCCATCTCCATCAGATGAAACGAAGGAGACTCATGAGGAGCCAGATAGGATCAGGGTTTGTAATTACTGCTACAAACAGTGGGAACAAGGGATAATTCCGCCTGATAACGGAGCTTGTATCATTAGCCTTCCTCTTAGCTCATCGCCTTCTGCTAGAAGCGTGGCAAGTACTGCTTCTACTTCTAATAGTAGCAACTGCACCGTTGATTCAACTGCTGGACCTTCCCCTAGACCGAAAATGAATCCTCGAGCTAGCAAGGATTTCGAGAAGTCTGAGCAGCAGAATGCATCGTCGCGTAGAAGCTCGGATACTTTTGGGCGTGTGTTAGATTCTTCTCAGAATCCAGTTGAATTCTTCGTGAACGGTGGCAGGAGTGATGGTGAAGCTGATGATGATGAAGATTATCACTCTGACTATGCACAGTCTTACTCTCAAGGAAATGACTACTATGGTGCCATCAGTCTGGATGAAGTTGATCGTATCTATGGGTCACATGAACCTCATGATGTTGGAGTAAGCATAGAGTCAAACATCCAGAATTGCTTGCCCCCTGATGAAGATCTCGACGCAGTGAATACAGAGACGATAGATAAAACAGAACAGCAAGAGAATGGATGGAATGATGTGAAGGAGGGAAGCCCTCCTTGTGAAGAGTCATTTGAGCCTGAGGTAGTGGATTTTGAGAGCGATGGGCTCTTATGGCTACCGCCAGAGCCAGAGAACGAAGAAGATGAAAGAGAAGCGGTGTTATCTGATGATGAGGGTGATGAAGGTGATAGAGGTGATTGGGGGTACCTTCGACCATCAAATAGCTTTAAAGACAAGGAGTTCCACTCTAGGGACAAATCCAGTGGTGCTATGAAAAATGTTGTTGAAGGGCACTTTAGGGCCTTAGTAGCACAACTTTTGGAGGTTGATAACTTACCTATGGTCAACGAAGGCGATGAAGAGGGCTGGCTTGATATAATTACATCGTTGTCCTGGGAGGCTGCAACACTTCTCAAGCCAGATACGAGCAGAAGTGGAGGAATGGATCCAGGAGGATATGTGAAGGTTAAATGCATCCCCTGTGGACGTCGTAGTGAGAGTTTGGTTGTGAGAGGCGTTGTTTGTAAGAAAAATGTGGCTCATCGGCGAATGACTTCAAAAATCGAGAAGCCGCGCCTGCTAATCCTTGGAGGTGCTCTGGAGTATCAACGCATCTCTTATCAGTTGTCAAGTTTTGACACTTTGTTGCAACAGGAAATGGACCATTTGAAGATGGCTGTTGCAAAAATTGACTCTCACAATCCCGACGTTCTCTTGGTGGAGAAGTCTGTCTCGCGATTTGCGCAGGAGTATCTTCTTGCGAAGGACATATCTCTTGTTTTAAATATTAAAAGGCCCCTTCTAGAGCGCATATCCCGCTGCACTGGTGCGCAAATTGTCCCTTCGGTCGATCAGCTCACATCACCAAAGATGGGTTATTGTGACCTGTTCCACGTGGAAAAATTTGTGGAGAAACATGTTAGTGCTTCTCAAGGTGTGAGGAAACTGACAAAGACTTTAATGTATTTTGATGGTTGCCCCAAGACTTTGGGCTGTACTATATTGCTCAAGGGAGCACAGGAAGATGAACTGAAGAGGGTGAAACATGTAATTCAGTATGGAGTTTTTGCAGCATATCACTTGGCTCTTGAGACATCTTTCCTAGCAGATGAAGGTGCTTCCCTTCCAGAACTTCCTCTGCAGACCCCAATTACAGTGGCTTTACCTGATAAACCATCAACGATTAACAGATCAATATCCACAATACCTGGTTTTGCTGTTTCAAGTGCTGAAAAGTCTCCAACTACTGAATTATTGGGTGAGCCACATAAAGCCAATGGCGACCTTACCACCTTGGATACCGTTTACTCCGAAATTGTCTCCTCTAATGATGATGGGTTAGTTCCTACTCTAGAATCCAGGCAGCTATCGTTTCCCATGGAAGAAGCTTCTGATCAAAAAGATCAGTGGTCTGTTTTACCCTGCGCCACAGAACAAGTAACTGATGGTGCTTACGCTAAGGAATCCACAGTAACAGGAGATCAAAATGATAGTAGACATGAACAGGTGGACTCTTCAAAAGGAGACTTTCTTCCGACAGCCTCTGACCATCAAAGCATTTTGGTTTCCTTATCGACAAGATGTGTGTGGAAGGGATCTGTGTGTGAGCGGGCTCATTTACTCCGTATTAAATACTATGGGAGCTTTGATAAGCCTTTAGGACGATTCTTAAGGGATAACCTCTTTGATCAGGATCGTTCTTGCCCGTCATGTGCGATGCCAGCAGAAGCACACATTCACAGCTATACTCACAGGCAAGGTAGTCTGACAATATCTGTTAAGAAACTGCCTGAATTGCTACCTGGACAACGCGAAGGAAAAATTTGGATGTGGCATCGGTGCCTGAAATGTCCTAGGATCAGTGGCTTTCCTCCAGCCACACGCAGAATTGTGATGTCAGATGCTGCGTGGGGCCTGTCTTTTGGCAAATTTTTGGAGCTGAGCTTCTCTAACCATGCAGCAGCTAGTCGTGTGGCCAACTGTGGTCATTCCCTTCACAGAGACTGTCTCCGTTTCTACGGTTTTGGGAGAATGGTGGCTTGCTTCCGTTATGCTACAATCAATATATTTGCAGTTATTCTGCCACCAGCAAAGCTTGAGTTTAGCTATGAAAACCAGGAGTGGCTCCAAAAGGAATCAAAAGAGGTGGTTAAAAAAGCGAAGTCCTTTTTGATGAGGTACAAGAGGCACTTAATCAGATTTCAGCGAAATCACTGGGTGCAAATTCCAAGGGCAGCGCTCCCAGCAAGATAAAGCTTTCTCTTGAAGAACTTGCAGGACTTCTTGAGCAACGTAGAAAGGAATATAAGGAATCATTGCAGCAAATGTTAAGCATGGTTAAGGATGGACAACCTACCATTGATATCCTTCTGATAAATAAACTTCGAAGGCTGATACTTTTCGATTCGTATGCTTGGGATGAATGCCTAACAGGGGCTGCAAGTATGGTAAGAATTAACAATGAAGCTCTGAGGAATTCGGCTCCAAAAGTTATGGGTCGTGACATTTCCTTAGAAAAGCTCGGTGATGAAAAATTAAGCTCGATATCAACCCATGACTCTCTTCCCCAGGATGATAAGTGTCTTAACCAGGGTAAGTCAGTTGCTGATATGAGCGGCAAAAGTGCTGTTCCTGAAGATGTAGGCTCAGACATACCCCCCGAATGTAGGATGGACCCTAGTGAAGGTGGTAAAGAGAATTTTATGGAGCCTTCACAGGTGGTTAAAACAGTACTATCTGAGAGCCAGTCTCAAGCAACAGACTTATCTGATACTCTTGATGCAGCATGGATAGGTGTACAGACTGCTTCAGAGACTGGTATTTCTCGTGCGCCTAGCAGAGCTGCGTTAGCAAATGGAACTCAGGCTTCTGATTTAAGGCTGCCAGGTTCTGAAAGTAGGCTGAATTTACAAGGGGGCCCAACCAGTGAGGAACATACAACACAAGTTCAGATGCCTTCTCCTAGTTTTTACTATTCACTCAACAAGAATTATTCGCTTAATTCTCGCAAGCATATTATGGCTGAAGACCGGCCTGTATATGTTTCTTCATACCGAGAGCTTGAATGGCGAAGTGGTGCTAGGCTGCTACTTCCTCTGGGAATCAATGACTTGGTACTGCCTGTATACGATGACGAACCTACTAGTATCATTGCTTATGCCCTTACATCATCAGAATATAGCGCCCAGATGTCTGGATCAGATAAGGCAAGAGAGCGCTTGGATAGTGGAGGTTCTTTTTCACTTTTTGATTCTGTGAATCTTCTCTCATTGAACTCTTTGAGCGATTTGTCTGTTGACATGAGTAGAAGCCTTAGCTCTGCTGATGAACAAGTCTCGCAGCTCCTACATTCGTCCCTGTATTTGAAAGATCTCCATGCTCGAGTCTCGTTTACAGATGAAGGTCCTCCTGGGAAAGTCAAGTACTCTGTGACCTGTTATTATGCGAAAGAATTTGAAGCTCTGAGGAAGATTTGCTGTCCTTCAGAAACAGATTTCATTAGATCTCTTAGTCGTTGTAGAAAATGGGGAGCCCAAGGTGGAAAGAGCAACGTCTTCTTTGCAAAATCCTTGGATGACCGATTTATCATCAAGCAAGTTACGAAGACAGAGCTTGAGTCCTTCATCAAATTTGGGCCAGCTTACTTCAAATACCTGACCGAGTCGATTATTACTAAAAGCCCTACAAGCCTTGCAAAGATCTTGGGGATTTATCAGGTCTCGTCAAAGCACCTTAAAGGAGGAAAAAAGTTCAAAATGGATGTCTTGGTGATGGAGAATCTTCTGTTCAAGCGGAACTTCTCTAGGCTTTATGACCTAAAGGGCTCCACTCGTGCCCGTTACAATCCCGATACAAGCGGTAGCAATACAGTTTTGCTGGACCAGAATCTGGTTGAAGCAATGCCGACATCTCCGATTTTTGTTGGGAGCAAAGCAAAACGGCTTCTTGAACGAGCTGTCTGGAACGATACATCCTTTCTTGCTTCGATTCACGTAATGGATTACTCCTTGCTAGTCGGAGTGGATGAGGAACGAAACGAACTAGTTCTAGGAACTATCGATTTCATGAGGCAGTACACTTGGGACAAGCATCTGGAGACTTGGGTCAAGACTTCAGGGCTACTTGGAGGACCCAAGAACGCATCTCCCACAGTTATATCGCCTCAGCAATACAAGAAACGATTCAGGAAGGCGATGACGGCTTATTTTCTGATGGTTCCTGACCAATGGTCGCCTGCCACGGTTGTGGCAAACAACAGCTCTTCAGCAGATGTGAAGGAGGAAGAAGACAAAGACGATATGCAAGGTGTTGGTAACAACTCATGAATCATTTTCTGCAAGACATACACAACATTCAGTTGGCAAAATATATATTCTAGCAATGGCTTCTTCTAGGCTCTAGTTTATTTGTTTTTTTTAATCTTTTTGAATGGTCTGGGTAATGTCTGTTTATGTTTTACCCTTATCCATAGCCTTTTGCATCAGAAGTAATAAATGCTAGATGCAATTGTACATACAATGCTTCTATCTTATAGTTATTCATTACTTTGTGTATTAACATGTTGCACATATGGTATGCTCTCTAATAATTTATTCTTTTATGTTCTTGGATATTTATGTGAAATTTTGCAAAAAAAAAAAAATATCCGGAGTGTCTAATAGCGTTACTTACAAAAAGGATTATCTAATAAATACATATAAAATGATTTAACTAACAAGCAACAACTGAAAATCCGTTTTAACTCTGCCACATAACGTAAGAAAAGTAATCAAGCAACTAAATAATGGAAAACAAAAAGAATAAACAAGCTCTAGGGTTCTTCGCGCTGAAGAAAAGCAGTACTTTAATTCCAATCCGTACTTTCAGTTCAGACAAGATCACAAACACACGAACTATGATCTTGTCTACAAAGGTACAACAAAGATCGATACTTTATCTTAGTTTTACAATTCTTTAATTTTGAGGGAAAGAGAGATTCTGTTTTTTTTTACCTTGATTTCCACATTAGCGGAGGATAAAAAGGTTTGAGATTATGCAGCTTTTCTTAATTTACAAATTTTATTTCAGTTCTTAATCAGGCTTTGGGCTAAGTTTCGTTTCAACTTAGCCGTTGATGATGATGGTTACTTGAGCAGCGAGAGAGTCTCCGGTGGATTGGTACGGGAGCTATTTTCTTGTGACGATCGATGATCTTGGTCATGCTGGAGATATAACAACAAAACAAAACTGAATATCAAAACTAATTCAAAACATCAGTAGAGGCATCTATGACGGGGAGAAAGAATGCTTCTATGTCATTATTTTCCTTCAAATGTTGTATATAGCATCACTTTGTGTTACTAACATATACTTTTGTAATCAAATGCTACTTAATTAGGCTCTTATGTACATATGAATGTAGCGAATGCCACTTGAAAAAGAAAAGAAAAAAAAACACACACAGACAATCCAAGTACCACCTAGTATCGAATCTTTCACACAGGTCCAATCGGAAAATTAAAAAAAAACAAAGAATTTGGCTAAATTATGTCAGGATTCTCGGTTTAGCATTTCAAAGAAGATCACGACTTTTAATCATAATATGTTATGTCAATGATCTCATGCCATATATGAAATTAGGCTGGCTTAAAATTCACTTTATCTTCACGTTAAGTTGTGAATTAGTCATTCAACCATATCTCAAGAATCATAATCTCAGTTCTCAAGTCAAAACACTTTGTATAGTACCAGTAATACAAACATAGAACAGCTCTAAAGATAGAGTTTGACTGTTGTAATCTGGAGGCAAAAGAGAATTGTTGATAGTTCTTATAGATACAAAAATATCAATAGCTCATGTGTGGTTATGAATATCTCCACTAGGCCACATATATATGGTGGCCGTAGACTTAATCTTAGTTTGAGTTTTTGTTAGCAAAAAAGACCAAATTAAATTCATTGCAAGAAGAAAAGGCACAATCTTGAAAAGCAAAAAAGAGTTGCTCATTAATCAAGACATATATCTTGTAATGTTGCCATATGCACACAACTATTAATTGCGAGTATAAGGGCGGAAATCAATATTTGAATAGATAAGTCATGTATATGTGGCAAGCATCAATGTGAAAAAAATGTATTCACGCACTACAATCAACCATCAGAATCAACTCTATCCTTTGGACATTACTTAATCAACAAAACAATCAAAGAGAATTTACAGGAAAAAAAGCAGTCTAAAATACATTTTGAATCGATAATTGAACAATGTGGCATCCAGTTTCGATAAAGAAATTGTTGATCAATGTTACCATCAATCACAATTAATCTCTCCACAAATCCACCGGAAGTGCATTGCAATATTGGATATAAACCAAAAGCCAAAACCAAACGATGAACATTGTTTCTTATATATAAGGAAAAAAAAATGAATATTGAAAATGTGATCAACAGATGAAGTTTGCTTAAACAACATTGAGCACGTATCAACACGTGTAGAAAATTTTCTGGAATCACATGCAATATTAAAATTGGTAAAAATTAAAGGTAAAATAAAAACCCCTATTTAGAAAAAAAAAAAAAAAAAAAAAAAAAACGAACACGAAGAACATATCTTGGTCACCAAAATGTTTTAATCTTAAATTGGGGTTGAGCTTAGTCATCAGCTATCATCAATAACAAAACAAAGAGAAAATCTTAGTTGATTTGAAGGAAACGGAAAAAGCCCTAGATTGAAGCTTCTATATCGGGAAAGTAATTAAACAAAGAGAGTAATAACTAATAATCAGAACACTCGAGTGACCCAACGAAGATGAAGGTAGCTTAATTACCTGTCGCCGGAGGAAGAGTCATAGAGTTTTCCGGATGCGGAGACAACGAGAACAGCAACGGAGGAATCACAGAGAACCGAAAGCTGTCGAGCTTTCTCGATGAGACCATTGCGTCGTTTAGAGAAAGTGACTTGTAGACTGCTTTTGTTCTCGATTCGCTTGATCTCCACTTTTCTTCTTCCCATGGCTGCTTTGTCCGGCGGCTTTGTGCCCTAATTTGGTTCTGATGTCCGGAGACGCTCAATGTCTTGGCTTCGTTTTATTCGTTTCTCTCTCTCTCTTTTTCTTTTTATTTTTTTGCTTTCGCTCTTGGACAAAATGACACAAATCCAAATTTGTTTTTTTTTTTTTTTTTCTTTTGGTTAAACGAGAGAGGAAAAAAAAGTAGTAATGAGTCGAAACGATGCGTTTAGAAGTAGAGGAAGAGACACGTATTGTTTAGGCATGTTGAATTGCCCAGCGAACACCTCGTAGGCGTTTAATCCAACCCGTCGGATCCGTCCGATCATCATCGTTCGCAAAAAAATTGGCTAAGTTAAATTAAATAGATTAGTTTTGTTTTACAGAGCTTCTAATTAGGGTTGTCAGTAAAAAAAAGATTTTTACTTTACTAAAACATTTCGAAATTAGTCGATCCAGCCATCAGAGAAGATGGCACTATTGCTGGAAAGAGACTTTACTAACACTACTAACAAGTACTAAAGTTAACACAAATCGATTAAGTATATCTACTAAATGAAGAGGATTCTTCTATAGTAGCAGGTTCACCTTATACCTATATATACTATTTCGTTCACTCGGAGTAAGCAAAAATTAGTCTTCCCTCTTCAGAGATCGTTTGGAGATATCAAAGAGACTTTACTAATCAAATCAGAGTAAATCGGTTACACAAACAAAGAGGTTTTAACTGTGCCACATATGATAAAGTAAGACGAGTAATTGCTAGTTTTATATACCTTACGTGGCTGAGTTAAAACGGATTTTGCACATCAAATAAGGGAAAACAAAAAGAATAAATAAGCTCTAGGGGAGAAAAAGGGTAACTTAAATCCAATCCGTGCTTTCAGATAAAAACATAAATTCTGATCTTGTCTACAAAGGTAGAACAAAGATCGGTACTTTATCTTAGTTTTACACATCTTTAATTTTCAGAAAAAAAAAAGCTTCCGTTTTTATTTTTACCTTCGTTTCCACATTAGCGGAAGATAATAGGTTTGAGCTTATGCATCTTTACATATTTTACAAACTTGCGTGTTTCTTTATGTATATCTTAATCAGGGCTTTGAGCTAAGTTGAAAACTCAGCCGTTGATGATGGTGGTTACTTGAGCAGTGAGAGAGTCTCCTGAGGATTGCCAGAGCTATTTTCCGACGTCTTCTTCCCCATCTGTAAGAAACTTCCTTACATTTTTTTTCTTCTACAGCAACTAAATATTAAAAAGAAATTAAGTAATGATTATAACTTTCATCCGTAACAAAATTTCTAAAAGAGTTTTCTACAGCTACTAAATTAACAATAGCATGCTTTTCTTTTGCAAATTTTTAAAATTGGGTTTTACTCAAGATTGTGTTTTAGTGTATATCCATCAAATTCCTTGAAATATTTTCCTACCGCTACTAAATAAATAAATATTCACAAGTGGAATCTAAATCTTGACTCAAAATTCTCTACCATCCATCAAAGTCCTGAACTTTCATATTTATGTATATGTATATTTATGCAAGTGTATATGTGTATCTATCTAATGTCCCATCTATATATGCTTAAAGGGATAAATTAGCTTCTAGAAGCATAAGAGTGTGTGGCTTTCTTACTTGGCTAGCCAGAACCTGGTTCGCTTCTATCATCAACTTCTCCTGTTTGTGTAAGATCACAAGTCCCATTAGGTTCTAACAAATTCCATCTGCATAGAGGTTTCCTTGTCGAAACATACTACATCCTAATATATCGTAATTAAGTGATTCATCGAGGAGTCGAATTTGTTGACTTTTTTTTTCCATTAGGGTTTCATTTAAATGAAGCCAAAAACGAATTAGATAAATACAGATAGAAACAAGGGGTAGTGATCTGTCTGTAGAGTTGGAGTATAAGAGGATTCAAGAATCAGCATAGCCTACAATGGACCTACGCACTGGCGAATGAAAACCAACGCACTAACCTTTTCTTGAAGAGTCTTCACAATCTCCATCATCAGTTCTGCCTGAAACACGAAATTAAAGATTACGTCAGACTAGAAACATGATCTGAAGTTTGACAAGGTCCAGAGGCCGTTCTTGGAAGCTAACTAGACAGAAGATTTTATGGAATAAATAACTGGCCGAATCACGTATGGATAGTAGCAGCATATATATACCTTTCTAGCTCTAGTTACAGACAGTGCAGTCTCGAGCTGATCCTCCACCGAAATAAGAGAATCTACACTTACGTTACCAACATTCGGTTCTTCAAGGTTGCTGCATATTCATAAGGGGACAAAAGAAACACAAATCTTTTCCGATCAGAAGATCGAGGAGAAAAAGGTGTCTTAGTGCTAACCTTTGGACTAGTTCTAGTAACTCCTTGTGTGGAAGATAATTCCGAGTTTGTTCCGCTAGCTCCTGCACATGGAATAAAAACGGTTGGGAAAAGTTGAAAAGATTGTGAAGTTCCTGTGAGATGATAAACTGTAACCCTATCTATAGAGACCTAGTTCGGGATGACAAGCTCAAAACATAAAGTTAGATAACGCTTAACCGGCGCTTCTATCCCTTCATTACATCAACAAGACAACAACCCCATCCAGCAGAAGATTTCATTAATGTTCTCAGCTAACTTACCAAGGTTCTAAGGTCATGAGCATGTTGCATTTCATAACGATCGATGATCTTGGTCATGCTGGAGATATAACAACAAAACAAAACTGAATATCAAAACTAATTCAAAACATCAGTAGAGGCATCTATGACGGGGAGAAAGAATGCTTCTATGTCATTATTTTCCTTCAAATGTTGTATATAGCATCACTTTGTGTTACTAACATATACTTTTGTAATCAAATGCTACTTAATTAGGCTCTTATGTACATATGAATGTAGCGAATGCCACTTGAAAAAGAAAAGAAAAAAAAACACACACAGACAATCCAAGTACCACCTAGTATCGAATCTTTCACACAGGTCCAATCGGAAAATTAAAAAAAAACAAAGAATTTGGCTAAATTATGTCAGGATTCTCGGTTTAGCATTTCAAAGAAGATCACGACTTTTAATCATAATATGTTATGTCAATGATCTCATGCCATATATGAAATTAGGCTGGCTTAAAATTCACTTTATCTTCACGTTAAGTTGTGAATTAGTCATTCAACCATATCTCAAGAATCATAATCTCAGTTCTCAAGTCAAAACACTTTGTATAGTACCAGTAATACAAACATAGAACAGCTCTAAAGATAGAGTTTGACTGTTGTAATCTGGAGGCAAAAGAGAATTGTTGATAGTTCTTATAGATACAAAAATATCAATAGCTCATGTGTGGTTATGAATATCTCCACTAGGCCACATATATATGGTGGCCGTAGACTTAATCTTAGTTTGAGTTTTTGTTAGCAAAAAAGACCAAATTAAATTCATTGCAAGAAGAAAAGGCACAATCTTGAAAAGCAAAAAAGAGTTGCTCATTAATCAAGACATATATCTTGTAATGTTGCCATATGCACACAACTATTAATTGCGAGTATAAGGGCGGAAATCAATATTTGAATAGATAAGTCATGTATATGTGGCAAGCATCAATGTGAAAAAAATGTATTCACGCACTACAATCAACCATCAGAATCAACTCTATCCTTTGGACATTACTTAATCAACAAAACAATCAAAGAGAATTTACAGGAAAAAAAGCAGTCTAAAATACATTTTGAATCGATAATTGAACAATGTGGCATCCAGTTTCGATAAAGAAATTGTTGATCAATGTTACCATCAATCACAATTAATCTCTCCACAAATCCACCGGAAGTGCATTGCAATATTGGATATAAACCAAAAGCCAAAACCAAACGATGAACATTGTTTCTTATATATAAGGAAAAAAAAATGAATATTGAAAATGTGATCAACAGATGAAGTTTGCTTAAACAACATTGAGCACGTATCAACACGTGTAGAAAATTTTCTGGAATCACATGCAATATTAAAATTGGTAAAAATTAAAGGTAAAATAAAAACCCCTATTTAGAAAAAAAAAAAAAAAAAAAAAAAACGAACACGAAGAACATATCTTGGTCACCAAAATGTTTTAATCTTAAATTGGGGTTGAGCTTAGTCATCAGCTATCATCAATAACAAAACAAAGAGAAAATCTTAGTTGATTTGAAGGAAACGGAAAAAGCCCTAGATTGAAGCTTCTATATCGGGAAAGTAATTAAACAAAGAGAGTAATAACTAATAATCAGAACACTCGAGTGACCCAACGAAGATGAAGGTAGCTTAATTACCTGTCGCCGGAGGAAGAGTCATAGAGTTTTCCGGATGCGGAGACAACGAGAACAGCAACGGAGGAATCACAGAGAACCGAAAGCTGTCGAGCTTTCTCGATGAGACCATTGCGTCGTTTAGAGAAAGTGACTTGTAGACTGCTTTTGTTCTCGATTCGCTTGATCTCCACTTTTCTTCTTCCCATGGCTGCTTTGTCCGGCGGCTTTGTGCCCTAATTTGGTTCTGATGTCCGGAGACGCTCAATGTCTTGGCTTCGTTTTATTCGTTTCTCTCTCTCTCTCTCTCTCTCTCTCTCTCTCTCTCTCTCTCTCTTCTTTTCTTTTCTTTTCTTTTTTTGCTCTCACGGAGAAAATGACAAATCCAAGTCAGTTTTTTTTTTTGGTTAAACGAGAGAGTGCAAAAAAAAAAAAAAGTAATGAGTGGAAACGATGCGTTTAGCAATAGAGGATGAACTTTGACTTTTCATCTAACCCGTCTGATCATCATTCCCACAAAATTTGGTTCCTACTTCAATTGTTTTTTAACGTCCACAATTTCCATTACCCGACCAAAATTAAGAAAAAACACTTCCATTTCCACTAGTTGATAATGTTCAGTAAATTAATATCTTACTGAAAATGTCATCGTCGTTTAGTTTCGTTACTTCAATTTCTGTGGAATTTGCTCTTTTCAAATATGGATACTAGCAAGTCATGTTAATCATCATCGTTTAGTTTCGTTACTTCAATTTCTATGGAATTTGCTCTTTTCAAATATGGATACTAGCAAGTCATGTTCATTGAAGCTTTAGACGTTATGTTAAAAATAAATAAAAAAACTTTACTCGCTAGGTTAACATAATTAGGTTAATTGATTTTGATTCTTCTTCTTCTTAATTTTTCCCAAATCATAATATTACGTCTGTCATCCTACTTGTAAGTTGTAACTCCGACCAGAATTTCGATAATTTCATCACATTAAAATTGGAAAAGCCAGCCCAACCATCAGAGAAGATAGCATTGCTACTAGAAAGAGACTTTACTAAACTAAGGAGAGACAAACCTGTTAAGTATATCTCTAGCTAAATGAAGTTTGACTAGGTTAACTTCAACTATTAGTTCTATAGTAGCAGATTACCTAATATTCGTTCCTTTGGAGTAAGCAAATCAGTTACCATCACTAATCAAACCACATCAGCATTAAGAAGGTTAACACAAACTGGTTAAGTATATCTATAATACGATTTAAGGAGACCCACTTCAGCAAAATGTAAAGTTTTCTTCCAGTTTTTCGAGATTATGTTCAGTTGTTCTCACCACCAGTTTACCGAGTTGACTCGGAAACCCCGCGACTCGTTCGCGTTCTGACTCAAGACTCGGTAGGTATGGTAAATTGGCTCAGCAATAAGCTGAACCAAAAATTGGCCCACGACTCTAACCGGATTAAACCGGATCTCTTCTTCTTCCTCTTCCCTTTCTGAATTCGACGGTGTAAGAATTCTGGCTCTTCAAACATGCCGTTGGAAAATCCTCCAGATTTGGGATTTAGGGTTTTTTTTTTACCCAGAAAAACGACAGTTAGGCGTATTTAAAATGGACCCACCTAAAATGAAAGCCCGTATCAGTTAAGCCCAATTTAATTTACCAAAATGCTTTGACGACTCGCTAGCCCAGGTGAGTCAACCGAGTCGGAAGCTTATGCTTTTTTGTTGTCAAACAAAGTATACCAAAATCTGTTAGTTACTGTTTCATACTCAAGTAATCGTACGATGCTTTAAAGGTTTTAAAGGTCATGTAAATTATGCTTGCATAAATTAATGATTTTCATTACTGAAATTTGATTCTCCAGGCCATGGCTCATGTCTTAGAAGTATATATAATCCAAATCTAGACAGGAGCTCTTCTGTTAGCTCCAATATCTATGTTTTTGACGATTACATTTCAACGTTTTTTTTGTGTAACAAGCAAATCTTACTTTCAAGATCTTTGTCTTAGTGAAGTGATCACTTGCGTAAGTAAGTGTCTTGGGAAAATAATTATGATTAAGCCCTTCGATCAGAACTCGTGGATATTGTTCTGTCTAATCTGTTTTAATTTATTTTACTGCTTTCGATAAACCCTATTAATAAGTGGGATTCTCTTAGAAAGTGAAAGTCCCAAAGTGTTACACAACCATACACTTGTCTATGCTTTTTCTTTCAAGTTGGTTGGAAACATCAAACTTTTTGTATTCAAAATGAGAAAAGGTTGATAATAAGAATAAATGGAATCTATTGGTACAGAACCAAACACTTATTTTGGTTTTTTTTTAATAAAAGAAAAAGAATCGAGAGATTCATGTAAATTATTGGTCCTTTGATGGGTTCCATTGTTGATACCTTTGTCCTTTTGTGTTCTCACAATTTGGTTTTAACTTTATTGCTTACCTCATGTCTCCATTCACTGTTTCCACTCCTATTTATTCAATACTTAAATGAAATCACAAAATTGATGTAACAAAAAGTTCTTACAATTGTAGGGCTGTCTTAATTTTAATGATTTAACTTTATGAGTGTACTCCATTATGTACACAGCATCAAGTTATTAAGTTTTTTTACTTATAATATTATAATTTGTACATAATGATTCAGGTTTTGTTAGTACAATAGAATTATAGAATTGTGAGAAACAAGGAAAATAAATCAGAGTTAACTGAAAATGGTCGAATGATAAAAAGTTGTACTATTTTCTCATTGAATTCACGAAATGGCACTATGGCAGAATGAGTCAACATAAATTACTATAATTCTGATTTACAAAAAAAAAAAAAAAATGGTTGTTCCAGAAATTACATGAATGATAAAGTTCATTTCACTAAAAACAAAAACAGATGGTCTGAAGAAATGAGTACTTGAGTAGAAAAACGATATAGACAGTGCAGCTAATCAGAAGAAGGGCCCTAAGAAGAAAGTTTGTGTGGTGACGCATTGATCCATTTACATTTTTCCACACTAACTTTTGTTCTGTTCCTAATGCTTATGATATCATATAATGTTTTTTTTGTGTGTGTAGATTGTCTCCTATAACTCTGTATAACTTTTGTTAATTCCTTAATTTTTTGGAGATTATTGTATAGCCGGCAGAAATAAATAATAAAAGTGTTAATCATTGGGTATTGATTGAATGAAGGGGAAGAAATGGGTATGAAATTAAAGTCGAACTTTGTTACGCAATCTTTGATTAAGTTGATTGTCTTAGCTCTTGATGATTGTTCTCGAGGTTCATTACTTACACGGTTATATACCAATATGATTATCTAGATATATGTGTATTATAACAGGTTCTGATTAGAAAAATTAACTAAAGAATGTTATACAAATAAAACAATATTATCTCTATAATTAGATTCTTCACTTCCTTTTCTTTTAAATGCCTTGTGTTTTTCTTCTCTTCTTTCTCCCCTTTGCTTCTTCTCTCTCTCTCTCTCTCTCTCACTTAACACTTCTTCTTCTTCTTAGAGAGAGAATGGTATTAGGAAAGCGTCATGGCTCTCTGATCAAGAGAACAACAAGCATGAGAATGATCACAGTCGATAAAGAAACGATCTATGATGCATCTCAACCGTCCGATTATCTAACCATTCATGAACATCATCATCATAATCCGACGGTGGTGGTGGCTACTCAAATTGATGATGATTTCTTGAGGGCTTGTAGCCTCTGCAATCAAAATCTCTGCCATCGTCGTGACATTTATATGTATAGGTGCGATTTGATATTTTTGTTCCTTAAACGTATTAATTCAAAGAATTTTAACTAGTGTTTTGATTATCGATATTACGCCGAATTGTTTTCGTATATGATGAAAAAATGTTATATCGTATCGTGTTTGTAGAGGGGACAACGCATTTTGTAGTTTAGAGTGCAGGGAGAAGCAAATTAAGCTGGACAAGAGAAAAGCAAAAAACGGCGTCGTATCATCCAAGAAACCATTTCGTATATAAACTGGTCATGAAATCTACAACAATATCAGATATGTTTGTGTGTTTGTATATAAGAATAATACAAAAAGATACGAGAAAAATAGAACTGAGACAAAATGATCGTTGTGATCATATAACGCAACTTCATAAGCATTAAAATTTCTGAGATGTACTGTAACTGAATTTGATTTGTTTGTGAATCTTCTCTGTAATGTGTAATATGTCATAAATCTATGTCAACGTTGATGTATATTCAGGTGGTCTACTGCTTGTTGCAACATATGATTACAAAATTGGGAAATTTAATAAACGTACGTTGGTGTTATAATATCAGATGGACCGATTCTCAAATGTCATAAAAATATAATCTGTGATAGGGATCAGTACTGAGAAATTCTATAAATAATTGTATCAAATCTTGGGTGACGAAAACCAAAGATTTCTGTCTATTTTTTAAGTGGAAATCCCAGTTGGCCGGCTAAATTCCTATAGAGATATTATCAGTTCTAAAATCCTATAAATTCCAGTTTTTATATAGAGATCCATATTAGAAATATAAAGTAAATGCGATATAAGTCTCACGGCTCTTAGCATACAAATTAATGTTTTGGACGATTCAAGATTACTGACTTTGAAGGCTTATGTTACAAAATGCTTATTATGTTACTGGAAACAGGGGTCAGTTGAAAAAAAAACCACTATTAAAACTTCACCAACTTTTATCGAGTCCTACAAAATTACATGAATATTCTGATTCTAAAAATACATACAAACTGATAATTTTTGTTCAAAAAAATTCATAGAATCACCATAGATTTTTCATATTAGACCAACGAATTGGTGAAAATTGTTGGATATTACCACTCAAAGTTGAAAATTTCAACTGTATCCGTTGATCAAATATCCATAACGATGGGCCGAAAATACTGGGCCTACTAAAAACGGGCCTAAAGCTTACCACTCTTTGGTTAGGGTATAACTTCTGAATCTGCAAAAAAAGTTATTTTTTGGTACAAAGCACTTGCGATGATTTATTTTGTAAGCAAAAGTGTTATGTCAAAACACTTTAGTTTTGAAGCTTCTTGTAGTAGCAGTGACTGAATGGCACAGACAATAAAAAAATGATGAAATTGTGTGGGACCAGTTAAAAGATTTTGAAGTTTGATTCTTGATAAGATCTTGGATCCGGAAAATCACAGCCTTTCTTCACCTTAATATTAATATATATGAATCATCGTATTACGAAACTCTATAGCTTAATTTTTTATTACTCGACTAACGAGGATATGCACCAAAGTCACGATCTAAGCCAATCCACCCATGTTTTATATAATCCCCCTAGTGTGTATTTCCTTTAAATTTCCCGTTTATTATATACTCAAAAGTTAAGAAAGTGACAAAAGTGTTGTCCTTTGGAATTCTCAAATGGATAGATAAATCTATGACCACTTAAGAAGATCCCGAATCTTATAACCATCACTAAGAAATACAAAAATAATGTGTTATGGTCTTATAGATCACATCAAAATAATAAGAATAATTGTTCATCCACCATCATAAGGACATATAAATACAGAGTCTTTGTTCCATCAACATATATCCATCAACAAAACCTCATCTTTGATTGTTAATTTGTAAGCAAAAAAAAATTGGGTGTGATGGTGAAGAAACTTGGTTCACTAAAATGTGAAGTGAGGATAGTAGAAGCAAGAAACGTAGAGATCAAGTCACAAGCTAGTACTCTGTTCGTTAGATTCTATCTCTCTGCAGGACACAACAGAAAGATCGAAGTAAACACGAGAGAGATCTGTTCGAAATCAGACAACCACTTCATTTGGGATCAACCTTTTGGTCTGGAGTGTCAAGGGAACGAAGCGGCAGTAGAGGAACTGAAGCAACAGAGAGTCGTTTTCGAGCTACGGAGAAGGAAGACGACGTCGTTTCTTAGAAAGTCATCGAGATCGGAAGTTGTCGGGAGAGGTGAGGTTTCATGGGAATCGGTGTTCGAGTCTCCGGGCATGGAAATCGAGAGATTTGTCGTGATGGGTGAGACGAAAAATCAAAACTTGGAAGATAAAAAGCCTGTTTTGTTGAAGATAGCTTTAAAGCTCCAAGCTTTAGAAACAGAGACGATCAACAAGAAAGACAAGAGATTAGAGAAGCGTTGTGTGTCTTGTAGCAGTAGAGATTGTGGAAGTTGCAATTGTTTAGATTACGAAGCTTTTGCTCTAGCTTGTGCTTTGGATTGTATATAATTAAAGAAGGAAAATAGATTTTTGATTCAAATTTAACAAACTCAAAGAAACAGTTGCAGAACCAGTTTCACAACTCTTTTATTCAAACAGGGGAAATCGGAAAGTGAAACAGAGTTTCAAACATCACCATGTCCGAGAAGAGCAACAAGCATGTCCTCGTAATCACCAGAAGTGTCTTTGGCGATGGCACGGTCCAAAGGAATGCTGTTCCTTCGCTGATACTCCTCCTTGATGCGTTCCATGTCAACTTCAGTTCTTGTAGCCACGACTCTGGTGAGTCCCCACTCGTCTGTTCCCATTTTGTTGATCGCTAGACGAAGAACCTTCTCGAAATGCTTCTCAGGGTACGTCAAACACGTGATCGCAGCTCTTAGCAGCTTCAGGTACTCATCATCCGAACCTTCCTTCAGGTTCTGCAAACAAAACATTTCTACATGAATCAGCTCCTCGAACAAGAATTAGATATTGTAACAGTTAAGAGTTAAGTTATACCTTGTTGATGGAGTTACCATACTCGTTGTTGTAGTGGTTGAGAGTAGCGCCGAGCTGTGCTTTGCTTCTGGTAGTCAAGATTCTGATGAAGTCATCGTCGCTGTAAGCTTTCGCTGAGACCTTCTCGTGAAGCAACTTGGCTTCGGATCTCGCAAGCATCATGTTCACATCGTCACCTTCGTACCTGAAAGTGCTCACAAGAGGAAGCAAGAGCTACACAAAAACACATATGTCAAAACAAATCCAAAAGCAGGTCTTGACATTTTATCGAGTGATCGATTATCTCTTACCTTACGAAGGTCTCCAGAGGTGTGCTGAGCGACATCTTCCTCGAGAGATTTCTTGTAACGAGCTTGGTAAGCTTGCTTGACCTTGAGAAGCTCAAGAGCAGGCCTAGTGCAAGCGATCTCAACAAGAACCCAATTGTTCTTGGTGAACATTTTGGTTGATTCTTTAGCCAGATAAGCATCTCTCTCCGCTGGATCAAGAGTCCACAACATCACAGCTCTCTGTTACAAAGAATACCAAATCAGTTTTATATCTTTATGAGACGCTTAAAGCAAGAGAGAGTAATGATATAACCTCAAAGTCGCTAGAAAGCTCTTTGTCCAAAGCCTTGAGGAGATCCTCGTTGTAAGCAGCGGCGTAAACGCTGCGGATCAAGCTGCGTTGTGCAGAGTTCCTGTGAGCTAGAATTGATATGATCAGCTTCTCGTTGGTGCCCCATCCTGTGATTCAGACCAAAAACCAAAACCAGAACAACGTTTTTAAGACATGTCTCATGTTAATCAATCTCCTTTGAAGGGAACATAAAGTTCTCTCCTTTTGCCATCATCAAAAGTCAAAACCATTATTTGAACACAGACAAGTCTAAACGCAAAAAAGGGTTGCTTTTGAAACAAACATACGAAATAGGATCAGATGAACAGATATAAAGACACGAATACGATCCTGATCTTGTGATTGAAGAGCAAACCAGATCAATGCAAGTGCGGTGGTGATTAAATTGGCAAATTAAAAATCAAAATCACGACAGAGATGAAACTAACGATGATTTTGGAGAGAAAAGAAGGAGCATTTTATCTTGCGATGTGTGTAACGAAACTGATTCTAGATTAGACTCATAGAAGATGAAACAAAAACGAGATTCAAATGGAGAGATGAAGGAGAGAGAGACCTGAAAAGGCCTTGTGGAGTTGCTCGGCGTCGTCTTCGGGAAGAGGAACATTGCTGGGGACTTTGAGGGACGCCATTTTTTTGGGATCTCTGTGTTTTTTTTTTTTTCTTCTTCCGCTTCTCTGTGAATTGTAATGTGACGAAGGCAGCAGACGCACGTCTTGTCACTTAAATAACGTAACGGGAATTCCAAAAATTATTAAAATGGAAATGAAAGTAATTTTAAAGCATTTAAGAATAATAATAAAAAATCCAATATGGAGATACATACCAGTGTCCTAATTAATAATTTAACAGCTGTTTCTGAACAAATTTCAGAAAAGAGGAAATATAATTTTCTACTTCTTCTACATGTCTACATATGCTAAAACTAAATCTAGATTTTTTTATTGTGTAAAATGTTAAATGAGCCAAAGCTGGAAAAGTGTATAAGCTAATCCAAGCATATATAGTTTCAAAATAGGCTGTAATTAAAATTCAATAATACTACTATTTTGAAAGAGATATAATACCAAATCAGGTTAAATTGTTTTTAAGAACCTTCAGTTTTTATTTACATCAGCCAATTTCCAGGAAATAACTAATACAAATTGACCAGTACAGTGTCAGTTTTTAATAAGATGTAAAACGTGAGTCGGGGTCAAAACTTGCGTGACTCAGAATGTGAACAAGGTACATTGGACTATGTCTATTCAGAATTGGTCCAAAATCAAACTGCTTCATAGTATTATTTATAAATAAAGTACACTTGGGAAAGCAATGATGCTGAGTCGATAAGTCCACACTTTACTTAATGGTGTTGAAAAGTATTTAAATTTAATTAAAAAAACCATGTTGTTGGAGTAGCCAAAGTCCAAAGAGAAACCGATGATTGATAACACTAAAATATACATGAAAAAACGAGATTTTCATTTCGTAAATTTGTATGGTTGTTATAAATACCTACAGAAAACGACGTTACGACGGTGGAGTCACGTTGATGGCGCTAAGTTAATAGTCTGAAGAGGAGCAGTTACTTTGTCTTCCTCAAATTTGTTTTAAAAAAAAAGCTCAACTGATATAGGTATGTACCAGTACAACTAATGAGGTTAGGTTTTCTGTCTCTTACAAAGAATAAATATGATGAATCCAAAACTTTATCCACAAAAAATTAAAGCGGGAAAGACAGAGGAAAAAAAAGATTGTAAAATGAAAGACGACTCCGCTGGGGATCGAACCCAGAGTCTCTGGTTTCGTAGACCAGCGCCTTATCCATTGGGCCACGGAGTCTTACTTGATTACAAGATTACTTATTATAATAATATAACAAATGCCGCGATAACCAACCAGGATCAAGGCCAAGTTGCAGAGAAACAAACTCAGTATCTGCAACTTCGAATATCTGACTATACCATCCAAGATTTGTCTTAAAACACACCAAAACAAGAGAATACGCAGAATAAACTTAGGTACAAAAGCAGACAACGTGTATCACTTGCATTAACTATATCAGTCTTCTGCAGAAAATAAAAAATCCTTGAATGTAATGTTCTCTTCTTCTCAGATAATGCATGTACTGTTCTCTGTTAATCCGTCTAGCTGCTAAGGATGAGAATCTACTGGATCCAATCCAGCTTTTGCAGCTTTACCTTCCTCATAAGCTGCAACATGAACTCCAAGAGCCGCTCGGCCTGACGGATCAAGATTCTTTGACCAAGTTGCATCCCATTCTATCGCTTTCGCCGTACTGCAAGCTATACTTGGACCTCCCGGGACAGTCGCTCTCGCAGCGCTCTGCTCATTATAAAACAGAGAAGATTGAAGAAGTGACAAACACCACAGATTTTTTGAATGTTTGTGGGCGTGTTATTATTATCACCTTAGGGAAGAACTTTTCAAAGATGGTTCTGTAGTAGTAAGCTTCCTTTGTCAAAGGTGTGTTATCCGGGAAGACAAAGTTTGCGTTTGACAACATAGTGTCAGAGACCTTTAACCAATAAAGAAAGAGAAGTTAAATAGTTTGTCAAAAAAAATTCACAGTTATCAGAAAAATGCCTTTAAGAAAAGACATTTTCTTACATGTGTGTTTGCATGATCTTTCAGACCATCGATCCAACTATACCCAACCCCATCGCTAAACTGTTCTTTCTGTCTATACAGAATGTGCTGAAATTCACCAAAAGATGAAGAATTTTGTTAGAATTGCAAGAAAAAGACTGAGAAGACAAACAGTTTTTGTAAACAAACCTTTGGAAGATAAGGCCTTTGTTCATCATCAAAGGCATTGCGTAGCACCCACTTCTCAATCCTTCCGATATCAGGCTTGACCATTTTCCACTCTGGATCGATGCTCATCGCGACGTTTATAAACTCTTTGTCTAGAAAAGGCACTCGAGCTTCCACACCCCATGCGGAAGTCGATTTGTTGGCTCTCAAGCAATCAAATTGATGGAGAGCCTTGATCTGTAAGTAAACGAAAGCATAAACAAGATTCAACAATAGAGTCAGAGCAGCAAAAACAAAAATACAAGTTCTTGATGTGATGGAAAAAGGAAATACCTTTCGACATGTTTCTTCATGAAATTCTTTCTTGTTTGGTGCCTTGTGGAAGTATAAGTATCCTCCGAGGATTTCATCAGAACCTTCCCCAGATAGAACCATCTTCACACCTAAAGATTTAATCTTTCTGGACATGAGAAACATAGGGGTGCTAGCTCTAATTGTTGTCACGTCGTAGGTCTCAATGTGGTAGATGACTTCCTCTATCGCATCTAAACCGTCCTAGAGTTATCATTAGAAAAAAACAGTGAATTTGCTTGCTTACACGTGATTCTGTAGATGCAGAAGGACAAACTTTTACCTGAACTGTAAACTGAAACTCGTGGTGCCGTGTACCGAGATAGTCAGCAACTTCTCTTCCAGCTTTAAGATCCGGCGATCCCTGAAAACCAAAACAGAACACACATAGTTGGAAATAAAAACAGAAAACTTAGTAAGAAATGTGATAATAAGCTTGAATATGATGAGGACCTTCAAACCAATGCAAAATGTGTGCAATTGTGAACCCCACTGACGAGCAGCTTCCGATTTCTCCAAATGGCGTAGTGCTACTGCAGCTACGAGGGACGAGTCTAGTCCTCCAGAGAGGAGAACTCCGAAAGGCACATCAGTCATTAGTCTCTTTATTACAGCCTGAAAAAAAGGTCAGATACATTCATATTTTCAGAAACCTCTTCAGAAACTTCAACAAACATTGCAATAAGACTGAAAATTTAAGACGATAAATCTTCAGACATACCTTCTCGAAAGCGTTGCGCAGCACCAAAGGATCATATGGAGTTGAAGGAACCTGC